ATGTTTGGTTTAGCACAAAACCAGCATAAGACAGTAGCTGATATGAGGAGTCATCAAGGATGGAAAATCGCTCTAAGAAAGACAGTTGAATGACTGGGAGATAACAAGATTAGCTGACTTTTACATAGAGTTGGAAGCATTTAAAGGATTACAGGAAGGTTTTGATTCACTTTGGTGGAAGAGGCACAACAGAGGGGTTTACCGGGTGAAGGATGCATATAAGATTTTGAATCATAATAATCAACAGGTGGACCCATGGCCTTGGAAACATATATGGAAAACAAAGATTCCATACAAGGTAGCTTGCTTCACTTGGCTACTAGCAAAGGAGGCGGTATTAACCCAGGATAATCTCATAAAAAGGGGAATTTCTCTGTGCTCAAGATGTTTTCTGTGCGGGGAAAATGCTGAAACTGTCACACATTTGTTTCTACATTGCAAGATTACAGACCAACTATGGAAAATCTTTATAGTCTTAGGGGTATTTCATGGTCAATGTCATACAGGCTTAAAGATGTCCTTTATAGCTGGGAAGAAGCTGGAGCTGAAGCAACTAGTAGAGATAGATGGAGGACTATCCCGGCTTGTATCTGGTGGACAGTTTGGAGGGAAAGGAACGTGAGATGTTTTGAAGATAGAAGCAATCCAGTGCAGAAGATCAAACTCAATTGTATTCTTCTTTTTTGTTTTTGGTGCAAACAGATTTACATAGAAGATACATTGACAATCATAGACATACTAGGATCTTGCTAGGTCTCGAATTAGAACATCTACTAATCCTCTTCATGTAAATATGGTTTTCAGTGCAACCTATGTACTGATGTTTTTAATATATACAATAGTTACCAATTCAAAAAAAAAACTGTCACAAGGACAAATGACAGGTAGATTGCTATACACTTGAGAGAACTTATGCAGTATTTATCCGTAGCACTTAAACCACGCTTAATTGCATTAAGTAGTAGTACACGACAAGAAGAAGTTACCTGGTGAAGTTCCATCAACTCCTGAAGACAGTTGCTAAGCAATATCTTCTTTATGCATGCCTTACCTGTTGGGGTCAACATTGCACTTTTGAAGCTAAATTCAAGTAACAATTGTATAAAAGAGTTTATCTAGCAGCTCAAGATAATGCAAAGTATATCTAATGGATTGGGTATATAAAGCAAGAATATTTGTGCTTGGGAAATTATTGATTTGCTGGATTACAAAACAGCAGGAGTACCATATACAAAAGCTCGTAATATGAAAAAAGTCATTAAAAACACAAACCTCGTCTATGGGGATCACAAAAGAAGAAAAACTTGTGTGCAGCTATACGGCAATACATTTGCACAAAAGCAGCTGGCATGTCTCGAAGCTGTGCTAGGTTAGGAATCAAGCCCCGTATATAGGCTTCCATTTCCTGGCCCCAAAAAAGAAAGCGCATGTGTGAATTCAATTTGTCCAAGTGTGTGCGCTACTTACTAAGATAATAACTGTATAAGGCAAAAAAACAAATAAGTATAAAGCATTGGAGTTGAGAATAGTGAAGAACCATACATGGGGTTGAAGGAAGCCATCAGAGTCTTCATCAAGCTCGCTCATGTCAATTCGGGCTTGAGTAAGTGAAACCTAAAAAAGCAGAGAAATCATATTAGAAATGTAAGAAATATGACACAGAGAGCTTAAGACCTCTTCCTAATTTATTTTTAGCCAGCTCTTGAGAGAAGATGTATCAACTCTTCCAGAGGAACAAGGACTACTAACCATCAAGTTCCAAAAAAATAACTAGTATCAAATAACAAACTTTTCCAAAAAAGAAAATATTAAAAGACCACACAACTTCTTATGTCACCAACATCTAAGTGAAATTTACATCTCGCAAGATGAACCCTCGTTAGAATAGCATGGCCAAGCAGCCTGCCGGTAGGAAGTTTTCACAGGATCTCTTTTTGAACTACAAAAAACTTCCAACTGTTTGCGCGCTATAAAATTCTTACAGAGACAGAATGCGTTACTATTCAGCTAAGTTGCGCGGGCTCTTTGATTTTGATGCCGTCCCTGTCCCGATACGAGACCGGGACGGGAGCGGGATCCGTCCCGGATACGGTCAACTGACTTCAGACACTTTGACCGGAGTCCATCGACAAATTTGGGAGAAAAATTGAGATTTTGATTTCTCAAAATAAAAAATAAAACAGATTTAGGAGAATGAAAGAATAATGTCCATCTTGGAGAGTGAAAGATTGAATTCTACAATATTCATGTAAGTTTTTCACATAATCTCTCAAAATTTACAATATTTTTATAGCTCTATTTTTTATTAGCCGAATCCCCGCACCCGTATCCATATCCGGATGCGCTCCCCCGAATCTTAAAATTTAGATTTTGCCGAATCCGATACTCAGATCCGTCCCGTATCAGATACCCGCACCCGAGTCCGAGCAACTTAGCTATTCAGTAAACTTTACGTCCTCAACAGAAGCTCCTGTTCAAAATAAGTTCAAATAGCAATATCTCAAGACCTGCAAATAACGTATTAACTCAACTATAGAATTGGAGGACGGCCAATTCACAGTGCCCTGGTTTTTTCTTTTTCAGATAAAATAGAGTTGATTTATGTGGTTCAGAGGGGTGCAATCCTATAAGGTAAAACTCACAATCACTACTCGAGCAGAATCTTATTTATGTTTTCTCTTCTTTTTTCCTTTTTTTTTTAGTTCCATCACATATTCCTTCTTTTCCTTCAGGAAGACCGCAAGACAAAGCCACAGAAACACATACACGCACATATCGTGTTTTTTTATAAGGTAATTTTATTTACGTTATCTCTTTCTTTAGTTCCTTCACATTTTTCCTTCTTTTCCTTCAGGAAGACCGCCAGACAAAGACACAGAAACACATACACGCACATATTGTGATTTGATCATTCCAAGAAATTAGGATCAAAGTTGTTCACTTAACTGGTACAATGTTTTTTATTCACAAAGGAAGTGAGTTTCATCAGGGGTACAAACAAAGCATTGAATATATGAATTTCGATGTACAAAGAAAGCAGATTGAACAACCTTAAAGCTTATGAATAAACCAATAAACAGTCAAATTTCGGTGTATAAAACGCAAACAGATTCAATATACTTCCACCATGTCAGGGACAGGGAAGTATATCTGAGTGTATTTAAACACTGTTGAGGAAAAGTAAAGCTAAAAGGACTTTGCAGGTACAGGTTGATAATACTCACTGTGCGCATCACATAAAGGTAAAACGGCAGAATGGCAATTCTCCCTGATTCATCCTTCTCAAACTTCATGAAATTTGAAGGACTGAAGAAGCGGCGACATTTAGGCCCTATTTGTTCTGTACAGACAGAGGCAATGTGGCAAAAGTCTTCATAATTCATCTAAACAAGACAAAGAATCACTTTCTCAGCATGCTTACAGATGTTGCTAGAAAACAAAGAATTAATATATATAGTAACAATAATATAACAACAACAGTAAATAAATGAAGAACTTTTTTTGTCTGTTTGTCTCAGATGGTTCAGAATGATCTCTATGGTTAATTACTCAAAGAACAAAGCACAAAGGAAGTGCAAGTGACATAAATGAGAAGCAATTAAGGAAGTTGAAGATATAGTCAAGCAATCAGATAAACACATCGATGAGGAGCAAAAAACAAACATTTGAAGAATGAGATATGCCACCCATAAGCACTTAATACCTATTTCATCAATACATTCAGGTTTGGTATTACCATATTAGACTATTAGCTTAGCCAAAGTAACAGGAAGTAGGTTAGGATTCAAGCAACAACAACGATTTGGTATGACAGCCTCTTTTTTTTAATTGTGTGATTTAGTATGACAGCCATTCGGCCGAAATATCGAAACGGTGAGGACTCTAACTTTTTCCATTCTAACACTTTGTGAATTATAGTCTCAAAGTTCAACCAATAGTATGCTGCTGACAGTTTTCTGAATGATGCACCCATGTGTTCATGTAGGTGCCTCTGAGAGAGGAGAGACTCCCAAAGAGGATCTGACTTGGTGCTGGTTTTCTTTTCTTTTTTTTTTTTTGAGCTGGAAAATCGAAAACTGACTGGGTGCTGGTTATAAAATTTGAAATCAGGAAAATAAAGTTATTGTCTAACCTTTTCTGCACCGGTTGCATCATCGATCACACAGTTCTCTCTTAGACAGACCCACATAGCATCCAAATCATCAGCATTTAGCAAAAGGTCAGATTGTTTCTGAACAAATAAAAGAAGTTAATTAACTCTATACATTTTCACAGACATGAACTATAAAAATATCAACTATCCCAGTGACCCTGTTTTCTAAAAATAGGTTAAGATACTATTCATCAATATCAACATGATGATGGCCATCAACAAGAAAAACAAAAAACCCTCAGTAACAGCAGAGAAAAGCTCCTTGGCCAAGAGCACTGGAAAGCTGGATCCCAATGCTTGACGCTTTACAACCAGTGACCATATGCAAACTAGGAAAAGGATATTAATACCTTTAAAAATCGGTATTTTGCCAGCCGCTGAACCCTATGACTAATAGATCCTTCTTCAGGTTTCTAAAAAGGAGAAAAAAGACAGAAGTAGTAAGGATGAGAGTAGGATATAAGGTAGAAACATCGCGAGTTACACTATCATCTAAGAATGCAATGTGATACCTTCTTATAGAAGCTAGGAATAGTGCCAGCTTCAGCACTCTTTTGTTGCTTGTCCTTAAAAATATCTAGCAAGATTCTTTTTGTTTCAAGCTCTGAAATGAAAACATGAAGACATAGTCAGATAACGCATACTGCACATAGATTCATGATTTACAGAATGCAGCGACAGATTTGCATACCAAGGGAAGTGTTAAACCAAACCAAATCATAACAAGAAAGTTTTGAAGAAGAATATACACCTAAAGCCAATATAGGAGAGGAAAAAACTAAACAACTAAATTAGCTGAAAAAATGCCAGCTCTGAAAATGGAACCCAAATTGTTACATAAAAATAAACCATCCTGAAGCGACAAACTTGGAGTCAATTTGAAACCAATGGACACAAGTGCATATTGATTACCATCGCCCACTTGAACATTGAATGGACCTTTGATCAATAGAAAGCAAGTACACTACCACACAGCGTTCTTTGCTCCAAGGGCATGAAATGCATGATAATATGAGAGAAGCTCATCCTTACAATAATTTTTCTGCTTTCTAATGTGTAAAAAAAGTTCAGCACGGTGCACAAAGCATCCCGCATTCACGCAGGGTCCGGGGAAGGGCTGCACCCCAAGGAGGTGTAATGTAGGTGTGTGCGTAAATAAAACAAATGAGTGAAAACCATCAAATTACCTGTGAATATGTGATATCATATTACTCATTGTTTATCTAAAACAACAACAACTACGCCTCAGTTTCAAACAAGTTGGGGTCGGCAAACAAATCCTCATTCCTTTCATTATCCTCAACTCGTATCATCATCGTATCATCATCATTACTAACATAAAATAGAAGGGCAAGTAAAAGAAATAAATATATACAAAAAAATAATAATAACAGTAATAATGATAATAATAGAAATTCTCTAGCAAGTCTAAAACCTATTCCCAACTAGTAGTTATTGCCTACATGGATTTTCCTCTTCCATTGTGCCCTATATTTAGTGAAGTCTGCATTTATACCAAGGATTTGTAGGTCTTTCGAGATAACTTTCTTCCATGTGATTTCAAGTCTACCTCGCCCCCTTTTAACACCTTCCCCCGGGACCCCATTATAGTTTCACACCTATGGACCGATACATTTATAGGCCGGCGTAGGACATGATCAAACCATCTCAAGCGACCTTCTCTTATCTTATCCTCAATGTGTGCTAGCTACTTGCACCTTCTGGCGAATGCGTTCATTTTTAATCTTATCTAATCTTGGGTGACCGCAAATCCATCTTAGCATTGCATTTCTACAACACTCATCTTGTGGATATGTTAAACTTTAGCAGCCCAACATTTACTACCACATAATATAGTCGGTCTTATAGCTGTTCTATAGAACTTACCTTGGTAGGCATTCTTCTATCACATAATACCCTGGTAGCAATTTTCCATTTCAACCATCCGGTTCTAATTTTATAAGTAAGATCTTCATCTACCATTCCATTCTCTCGAAACAACGAGCCTAGATATCTAAATCGTTTGTCCTTTGGCACCACAATTCCATCTACTCTCACCTCAAATTCACTCTTCTCATGCCGACTAAACTTGCAAGTACTCAGCCTTACTTTTACTTATTTTAAAACCCATACTCTCTAAGGTGCTTCTCCATAGCTCAAGCTTTTGGTCGATACCCTTGCTAGTTTCGTCGATTAACACAATGTCATCAACAAATAGCATATACCATGGGACCTCATCTCATATTGCGTTGATTAACTCATCCATAACTAGGATAAATAAGCAGGGTCTCAATGCAGAACGCTGGTGTAAAACCACTGCTATGGGAAACTCTTTTGTATCTCCTACTATTGTTTTCACACTAGTGACAACTCCTTCATACATGTCATTTATGACATTTATATATTTAATGTGAATTGTTTCTTCTCCATCACCCACCAAAGGACCTTTCGTGGTACTCTATCATATGCTTTCCTCAGGTCAATGGGTAGATCTTTCTTCCTTACGCGATAAATTTTCATCAAACTTCTTAGCAAGAATACAGCTTCCGGTGTAGATCCACCGGACATAAATCCAAACTGGTTCTATGTTACCCTGTCGTGTTCCTAAATTTACACCCTATCGCTCTTTCCCAGAGTTTCATCGTATGACTCATGAGTTTAATGCCACGATAACTCGCACAACTTCGAATATCTCCTACAGCTATCAGAAAAACCAGCCGACCACCGAGTAGGATCTCACTAAGGAGGTGAACAACACGAATTCCCATAATAGGAGGTGAACAACACGAATTCCCATAATAGGAGGTGAACAACACGAATTCCCATAACTAAAATTAGCACAAAAAATATCACATATATAAGTTACCCTTTTGAGATCAACATGCATAAATCATTACAAGTCATGAATTAACTCAGAAAAAAGCTCAGTACAGTAAAACTATTGGGGGAGGTAGAGGAAGCTGAGAGAGAAAAAATGGAAAATGCATAAACCAGTTGTGATAAAACCAAATGAAACCATGCAAACGGAAATCCAAATGGGTGAAGAGAAACTGACTTACCCATTAGGGCTTCGGAGCCGAGGCCAGCGCCGGATCCGATGTATCTACGGAGGTTTCGGACCCAAAGCATTGAGGATGCGGGAGGAATCTTTCGCTGCTGCGCCGGAGCCTCAGGGCCTTCGCCATCGCTTGACCCACTGTACATTGCTTGAGGTTTTGAGCTGCCGAACCCACCAATTCAAATAACAGACGATTTTTTTTATTTTAACTGGAGAAATTTCTCAGAAATGGTGTGTTGATGTTGATGAGTTTCAAGCTATGGAAACCCTAGAAATGTAGTGAACCAGAAGCCTGTCGATTCGTTACTCTGTGGAGCTCGATCCGATGAGTCCACAGGGAGCGTGGCAGAAGAACAAAATCCAGACAACAATTACAAAAGAGAGGAGTAATAAATTTACGTTTCGAAATTCAGTCCAGAAAAAGAAAAAAACAATCCTCGGATATTTTGATACTCCTTGTCATCTCTTTTTTTATTTTTTTATTTTTATTTATTAGGTCCGACTAAATTTAGATATAAAAACTTTGTAAAGTTTGGAATAAAGGTGATTTTATACTCCAAAACTTGATGAGGAAACTTTTTTGATTAATAATGATCAACTTAGAAGACGTTTGAATTGGCTTTTAAGCTGGTCAAATAAATCTTCAAGCTTTTTTTTAGTGTTTGGTAATGTTAAAAAGTACCTAAAATAAATTAAAAATCGGTTAAAACAAGTTAAAAGCAATAAGTGGAAAATCTAACTTATTGCTTTTTGACTTAAAAGTTATTCCACTTGAAAAGTCATTTTTCTTAAACCAATCCAAATGGCCTCTTATTTGTTGTTTGCTCGCGTAAATAGTCTTTTCTCTTTCTACTTTGGCTTGGTACACATATTAACTCGTGTACTTCTCCCAATATTTAAACACTTCTATAATTTCTAAAAAGGAAAAAGGTCCAAATTTACTCCTCTATTTTTAACTATTTTATATAGCTAACCTCCGTTATATTATTCGGTCAAATTTATTCCTATCGTTATACTATTCGATCAAATTTACTCCTATCATCAGGAAATTTTTAAAAATTACCCCTCAGTCCATTAGGTGACCCAAAATCTCCCTAATCATTCTAGTTAAGTCACTTATTCTTCTTCTTAATTTACTATTTTCGATTTAGTTGGTATTTATCGGCTTTCTTAATTGAAAAAAATAAATAAGAGAAAGAAATATTAAAATAATACAGTGGTTAGTAAACAAAGTATAGTAAAATTAAATAATCTAAATTATGTAGCTTATCTAAATTCTAAAAGTATTTACAATACCCCGGCTTTAATGAATTCGTGCCATGAAAGGTATGGAGACTTTGCATTGTCGAGTTCAACTTTGCTTTAATCAAATGCATATGCATTGTGCACTCTTAAGTTAGTCGACCGAATACTAACTAGACAACACAAATATATTCCAATGTATATTTACATACAAGATGAGCAACCACATATAATACATAACAAATAGACCCACAAAAAATTTACGGTATGTATATGGTTGAAAAATTATAAAAGTTTTAAATCAATTCCAAAGAAGAGAAGTTGATGCAATGGTAATTAAAAATATTCATGAATAATTTATAATTTAGTACCTCTAGCATTCACCTTAATAATAATTTCTGAAAATAGTGAATCAAGAAGAATGTCACACCCCAATCTTGGGAGGTGTGACCGGCACCCGATGCCCGAAGGCCCGAGCGAACCAACCATGAGATATGATCTGAAATGTAATAACCTGCAGGCAGAAGAGTCCAACACGACATTCACACACACGNTATATATATAACCTAGGCCAACAAGGCTGCAACAACAGTATAACAGCTATTCAGAAGGCCGATAGGGCCATACAAAAAAAATATATATGCAATGACCGCTAGTCTGCAAGCCTCTAAGAGTGTAACACAATCTCAACATGTCAGGACAAGGCCCCCGACATGCCCAAAACTACACATATACACCTGTAATAGTACCTATGAACTCAAAATCAGCAACTCCGAAGAAGTGGAGTGCGACACCCAACGCTGATCCGGGGGGTCCTACTGAGGAGGCACGCCGCTCTGTCTATCCGAATCTGTGGGCATGAACACAACGCATAAAAAGGCGTCAGTACGAAATATGTACTGAATATGTAGGGCAACAAGTGTAACATGAAAAATGTAATTAACAAGAGAAGAGATATAGAGACAGTCTGAATTCTGAAACTAGCCTCGATAGGAAACTAAAATTCAACATGAATATAAATGTATGCTCATGGAATCGTCGCTCACTATCGCTACTTATAATATATCACATTATATAATAATAAATCCCTCTGTGGAGATATAATATCCATAACATACCCGACCATAATAAAGGCTCGGTAGAATCGTACCCGGCCACGTAAAGCTTAGTAATCCCAACTGATCAGTGGTTACACAATAGGTGTCATACCCGACCGACTATAGTGCGGCTCGGTAATGAAAGTAAATACATACATATATATAAGTGCAATGTGAAACTAACCTTAAAAGACGTGTTCTAAGAAAAGTCGAAGTGGCCTATCATCATTATTCCTCGACTATCATGGTTGTCGCTAAAGTATTTAATTTTCAACTACGAGCCATCAAGTACTAAGAACATGAGAGTTATGTATTATGAGTACCTTTTAAGTAAGTGTTACTTTCCAGCGAACAATATTCATGATTTATATGAACGTCGAAAGGAGAACGAGTAAAAAGGCTCTAGTTCTTTTTAAGCAAGGAACAAGGGAAACAGAGAATTCATAGATATTCTCTAAAGTAAGAAATCTATGAGAAAGGATTAGGTCTAAGCATCTTTATGAGTTGAAGGTGAAATAACTCGAATCCGACGAAATAATTCGATAAACGTTTATTCGAATTCTAGTCATGCCGAAAAGTATAGTGAAAGCCCTACATACCTTGTCGATGGAGTTATATACGGTTTCCGAGACCTCGAAAACCTTAGGAATGCTTTCCTACATAATACGAACCATTCAATATCAAATTCAAGCTCATATCTTACATAATTCTTTATTTAGACATTTAAGCCAACAACTTGCGGGCATGAATTTGTAGACTCCTTTGTAGTTTAATTTCCCCGCAACACAGCACCAAATTTTTAATTTACTACATCTCCTTATCGACACGATTCCATCCATGTCTTCAAAGATCCAAACAACACAATAAAACTATATAGAACAGTCCCAACAATCAAGTCATATTAAGAGAGGTTTCTTAAAAAAATTAAGAATATTTCTTTAGAGGTTTCAACTATTCCTTAGGAATTCTTATGGTATAAGTTTACAAAGATCAAAGAAGAGGTTAAATCATACCTTATGTGACCAGAATTACTTTAAATTCGAGATTACTTCAAGGCAAAGTCTTCCTACGAAAAGTGAAATACCGAAGAATTCACTATTCTGAAGTTGCCATGGTGTTCTCCATCTTGAGGATGACTAAATTGTTGTTATGATTGGCTAGATGGATGAGAGGAGTTTGAGAGGAATTCCTAGGTTTTAGGTTCTGTTTTGGAGAGGATAAAACGCAGGGGTTCTGTTTTAAATTGACTTAAATAAAATAAAAAAAACTCTTAACTAAAACCGACTAAGCGCACTGCTCCCGTAGCAGTGTGCACCCCTGTACGAAAATATTAATATCTCTCTACTCTGAAGTCGTATTAATGAACGGTTTATTGCGTTGGAAACTAGACTCATAGACCTTCAATTAGATGGGTAGAACACACTATAACTCCTAATATATTGAGAAAAAAGCTCATCAACATTTTATTCAAATTTCAGTGAAATTTAAAACCTGTAACTTGCGGTGATCTCTGTCGACTTTTTAACCACAACTCGAATGACTTCCAATCTTAACGTATGACTATCGCATCATTTAAATATCTCATAGAAATGATCTTCCTATCGAATTAGCCCCTTTACGGCATGATAACGCCGAATGCACAAGGTGTAACAAAGAAGAACAAGTGATTAAAAGGGATTTGGAAGATTTTGGGTTACCTAATGGACTGAGGGATAATTTTTAAAAATTTACTGATGGTAGGGGTAAATTTGCCCGGATTATATAATAGTAAGGTTAAATTTAGGTAAATAGTATAACGGAAGTTAAACATAAATAATATCCGAAAGTAAAGGGGTAAATTTGGACCTTTTCCATTATAAAAATTGGGAGGGGAAGGGCATTCATGATTCTCTTTGACTATATTTTTACTTAAAATTGAATCAAATCAACTTAGTCAATTTGTTTAATACACAGACGAAACTAGACCAAATATAACACCACTTTTATCGGCTTCTTAATTTTTCGATTTTATTTTATTGTTTTGCATATTTTCATAGTGTTTCAACGGCTTCTGATTTATTTCGGCTATCAAGTTGATTTGATATCAATATAATCGATTCTTCATATTAATTTATGTGATATTTATTTCGTGATTTACACTCAATTTTCTACATTAGCTTAACTGATATCACATCAGTATGATCGTCAAAGAAATTTATTATATATATTTTTACCAAGTAAAAGTATTTAAATGAGAAAAATAAAGTCGAGATGCCACCTTTAGAAATGGAGACAAGTACGTATTTCAATTTACATATTACTCATTTTACTTTTATATACAATTGTGCTTGGGGTTGTTTGGAATGCAGTAAAACATTTTTTCTATGTTTGGTTGAAAGCAATTTTCTTAAAATTCATTAAAATAACTTTCTCGATAAGAGTAGAAAAAACAAGATTCACAAGGGACATTCAATGCTAATTGTCTTCGATCCGCCCCTAACACTCCACAGTCTCACCCACCTAGCCCCCCTCCCCCCAAACTTCGCCCCCTACTGTTTGATCAAAAAGTGTTAAGTTTTTTGTTAAACTAATTAATAATCAAATAGAGAGTGAATTTTAGTTAAACATAATAAATTCTATATCTAATGTTGGAGAGCACCAGCGATATGAACAATATTTGAGAATAATGAATGTTGGATATGAGCTCAATGATTATCAATGAATATTATAATAAGAACATGCAATAAATATAGACCGTGGCAATGAATGTAATAAGATGGAATTTGTCACCCAAATATTATATGTGTATACGGCTAAAATTGGAGAGTCTGATTTTATGATCATTGTGACATTCCATAGCCCGTCTTCAGAAGCCTCGAAGCATAGCTCGAGGTTTGACCCCGAGGGTTCCAAATGCTCGACCTCGGGGTAGTGCAAATCGGTGGCTATCTTAGACAAGCGAAAAATTCCCAAAAGGCACATGGCTAAAGTTGACAAGGTCTACAAGAATAGTACAAGTCCGTACTGTGACATTAAATAGTTGTACCAGCTATTTATCTTTGTAATAAATGCATATATACTATGTTGGGATTCCCCCTCCTATATAAAGGGGACCTTTGTCATTTTGTAAAAGACACATGATATTCAATACAAGAACAAGAACATTCTCTCCTCTCTAACTTAAACATTCTCCATTGTCTTTTCTTTGATTTATTGCTTACATTTATTGTGTTTCATTGATTGTTCCTCATTTATTATTCATCATTGATCATAAAGAGCCATTATTGAGGCCCTTGGAACTATTAGTCCTTCATCGATCATCCCTAGTCAAGCTCATCAGCTCGACCTCGAGGCCCATCTTAGGCCAGTCCGAGACCCCGATTCGCAACCGTTTGGTTTGAATAGTAACATTGCCTCTTACTCTTACTTTACTTTCCTAGCTCACCCTTAGCATTTGCTGCCTAACAACTAGCATTACAATAATTCACGTATTTTTAGAACTACAAAATCAAATCTAATTGTAATTATCATTTTCAAAGTAAACAGTTTGGCGCCCACCGTGGGGCTAAAAATAATAGTGATTGCTTTAGTAATGGTTTACTGAAAAGCACAAGTTATTCTTCACACTTTTTCTTATCCAAGAATCTTTGATTTCAGGTCAAAATATCTAACTTAGTGAATGCACCTGAAAACAACGGTTCTGAGGACCATGGAGAGAATGGTATAGCTGTTCCAGGCGCCGGTATGCCACTGTGAAATCCTGAGGACGCACCAGAGCCAACCCCCATGGATGTGGGCTCACGCAACGCCCAACACATCGATATAAGCTCCCACACTAACAGGAGTATATGCCAAGAAAACCAACAAGAAGCTCAGAAAACCCCAGTTCGGGAGGAACGAGAGGCACTACAACAAAAAGTACTTTTTGCGACAATTATTTTATGGCAATAAATTAATTGCTACTAATTCATTTCTTACGCCAAATTATTAACGGCAAATGAGTATTAGCCACAAAAATGCAACCTCTCCACCGACAATTGAATATGATGGACAGTAAAAGTTAAAAGCAAACTTTATCCCCATTTTTTCATTGAATAAAAAACAAAAAGTTTGTTCTCTCACAAACCGATCTAACTTATGAAATTCCGTCACCGACAACCAACTCATCTTTCTCCATCGTCGGCACCTTATCGCTCACTCAGGTAATTTTCGACTCATCTCTCTCTACTCTCTATCTCTTTTCTGCAATTCTAGGTTGTTGAAATTCTAATGGAGTATGCTAAAAAGAATGGAGAAGGAAACTAGAATGAGTTCAGAGAGGTTGACAGAATGTGGGAAAAGTTATTTGTAGATTAATCCTTTGAGACCTAATCTTAGTATAATGGAAGTACTAATATTTTGGTATATAATGATATTCTAGGGTTCATGAACCGGGAATCATAGATAAAATGGAACGTAAACTAAAATTATCAAAATGGATTGATGGATTACATATCTTTTTTTCAATAAATAGATCGGTAATTTACTCGCCGCTCATCATTTGACTGAATTTTGAATCATATGCGCTATTGATAGAATCAGATTCTTAAGTGTTTAATCTGGTAATAATTTCACTATTATTATAAAGAATACTTGGAATTAGAGTTATCTATGGAAAATCCTAACGATCTTTTCAAGTGAATGTATTGATCCATTTTGTTACTAGCAAGCAGTGAAAGACTTGTTCTAATGCAGTTAATTCTAGAAACTTAGGAAATTGCAGTAATTAAAAGAGAAGTAGCTAAGAATAAGCAAAAAATTATTAGGTTTCAGTCGATAAAGAAGCAAAACGGGAGCTCGACTCCTTACAAATACTGAGATTCTTAAGGAACCGGACCAAGACCACGACGCAAATTGTCCAAATAGGAAAACATAATAGAGTAAATGTGTATATAACATTTCTTTGCTTAAAAGATAACTGGACTTAACTGTAAACTATATAACTTATAACTAACTTACATTCCTTCTGTTAGGTACAACTCTCTCAACTGTATGTACTACTCCCACAGGCATCCTTATACTCCTTTTAATCTAGCTCACATCATGTTCACTAGGGCACTCTAGATTAGACTAATGATTTACTTTAGAACAAAAAATATGGTGTGATGTTAAACTTTAAACATGGCAGACCTTCTTTAAGATTGGTAAAACTAAAGAACAATTAAGAGAAAATAAGTGATTTTGGATGAAATAAATAGAAGCACTATAAAATGTTGGATGGTGTGCCTTGGAGTTGGTTGAATTAAGACTAGGTATCTCTAGGCTCTGATGATGTGCCTAAGAGTCGGTTGCATCACATATAGTTTTCTTTTATAAACAATTAGGTTGAGATTGTAAATTTGTAATTCCTCAATTCTTTGAACTTTTATGTATCGGTATATCTTGTAGCTTCTAGAATCAAAACATTAAGAAGCAGAAGAAATTAACTTTTGAAATTCAAAATTGTTTGTTGCATCTGATTAGATACACTTCGGGATTTATTTTTTTATAAGGGAAGGTTTTATCATTTCAGCACAAAAGAGAAGGTGTGTCATTTTAAATCTCTTTAATTTTTGTTTATAGATTCTATCTACATTATTATCTTTTTGATATATACTATGTTATCAGTGACATCACTATTAGATTTTGAATTAAGTCCACCCTAGTCTTTCATAAATCTGTTGTTTGGCAATGTGCTGAACCTACATTCATAGATGCATCTTATCAATTCTTTCTAGTTCAAATAATCTTGAGCTTATAGAAACTATCAAGAAAGACATAAAAAATTGTATTCTAACTTAATTATTTTCCCTCACAGACTCATATATGTTAAGGTGATTTTTTATATCTAGGGTTGGAGTTAATTGCCCTTCATCATTTTTTGAGAAAAGCAAATTGTCGCCTCCACATGCTCGAGCCGATTACGATTATGGATTACCTCATCAAGCTCCGCACATACTCATAATTACTAAGGTGCTTGGTTGTTTCCTAATTGAAGTCATAAAGAGGTACATTAATTGATGATTAAGAAAGTATATTTTAAAATTTATCTATACAACAATGGTGCGTGAATTTCTACAGCGATATTTTTTCTGCAGGTACATTATATTTTAGGTCAAGATTATGTCCCTAATGTATTTGATATTTTGGTTCAGAGCCGATGGCGGCACTATTAGTCTGAGACTGCAGCTATTGTCTAGGGCATTAGTTTATATTTTACTTTTAATATCATTGTAATGTTATTGACTACCTCTACTATTTGATTGAATATGGTAGGATGATTACAATAGATTGGGCCCTTGAGCTATCGTGGGAGGATGTATTTAAAATTTTAAATTGGAATTTTCTCTTGTTTGCAATGCCAATTATGAAAATTCCCCAAAAGAGGTAGAGTTCCTTCTTAATTTTACTTGCTTTTAAAATACAATGGAGAAATGCTTATGCTAGCTGTAATATTAATCCTCGTTATCTTAAAGCAAGTTCATAAAGACCTTGGCATGTTTAAGTTTTCACTTCAGCTATTTGGTCCAGGTAGCGGGTGAAATATTAACAACACTACCACTTTCTACTGTGGCATTGTAGAATTTTTTGTCACTCCTCTCATTAGGACTCTTAGTCGTTGTTAATCACTCAGTTTCTTTGTTTAATGGAGGCACATTCTCCCTGAGCGAGACCATTCATTTGTCTTAACTCAGACTGAAAAGGTATCTTAGTCCCTGATTTCACCCTTTTCGATTTCAAGCTACTTGTGCCTATTGTATACAATATTTTTCTATTTGGACTAACATTTGACCTTCTTTCTATTGTTGGACTTTAAAAACTTAAATTTTACTGCATGTTATACGTTTAAGTATTGTTAATGAGTATTTTTTTTTGTGTTGCAATGACAGAACTGTAGTCAAGCAAATAGAATCAATAGGGCTAAGCAAAAGATGCCTCACATGGGAGGATCCAAAAGCATAGCAACCTTTATGAATGAAAAGGTATTCATGCATAAATTATATACTATAAGATTCTACAAATATTTTTTTTATCATGCATGATATTTGACATCAATTTAGCTTTATTAGGCTATAGATGGAATAGAGCTTACACGTGCAATAGTTTACATTTTAGCTCATACAAAGCGTAGGGATGGTAAATCATTAGATGAAGAGTCTTGAAATACAGTTGTAAGATTTCTTATAAAAGACACAAGATTTAAGATGGATGAGTAAATGATAACCTTATACATGGATTCAAGCTAGCTTAGCTAATCTTATATATGGATTTAAATGGTCATTGCCTGATAATATGACTCTTGAGGAACTCGACATGGATGAAAAAGATACAAGATCTAAAATGGATAAGTAGACGATACCATTACAAAAGATTTAGAGCACGAGTTCAAACATAACACGAAGTTTATCTTGATGGAACCATAGAAGTGCTGAATCAAATAGAGTAAAGTTTTGGTGAATGTCTTGGCTTAATCACAACAACAAATGAAAACTTTTTAGGTATGGAGAGCCCAAAAATCTCATCCATGTTGAGGTCCTGGGAGTCATATTATCAAGCAATGACAATTTAAATCCATGTATAAGATTAGCTAATCTAGCTTGAATCACCTTAAGCTCCAAGCTATAATCAGGGCACATCCTTCTCCCAGCTCAAATGGTAAGCCACTGGATGATGATTCTGTCAAGACAGTCGTAAGATTTATTCTTTCTTTTATTTTGTTGGTTTGATGACTCCGTCAAACAATGTGCATTTTTTCCTACTCATGAATTCCAAAATTGATTTATTGTATATTCTATGGTCAGGAAATGACAAATGAAAGGATGTGCAATAGTGAGAGATTTACTGAGCAACCTCCTCGTAGTGTTGCTTGGGAAGGCGATGTGTATTCTCAGGTATTGGAAAATGAAAAAAGTGGTTATGTTCGTAGTTTAGGACTTGGTCCAACTCCTTCTGTTCTATGGGGTAGTAGGTCTTCCTTAGGAAATATTATTGTGGATGATTCTTCTAATGAGGTTATACAAATGATAGAATATAAGATAATCGAGTTAAAGGAGAAACAAAATGAAGAAATGAATATGATGAAACAAAATCAGAAGATGATGCAATCAGAATTACTCCAAATAAGACAACTCATGCGCAAATATGCTCCTCATGCATCTATGCCTCAAAGTAGCAATGCCACCTCAGGTGAACAGATAACTCCATTTCATAAGCTTTAGACATTTTTAATGAAATTCTAATCATATAAAAGTATTATTATCTAACATGTTGATATTTATTAGATCCCTGATGCCAATAGTGGACATGAACGAGTACCACAAACATCAAAGATTCCTAGTGTTGCTGAAAATGCCCAACCTTCTCATGGTACTACTCATCTTTGTCCTTCGTCGCTATTGTTTTTTCAGTTTTCGTGTGCGACCCATGCTTGTTCTCTTGATATCCCATCATATTCCCAGTAGCATATTGTCCAAGATTGCAGCTGTAGTTTTTCTTTCTCTCCCTGTATATCAAACTTGTCCGCAAACCTCATTGCTTCTTGTGTCCAGTAGAAGTGCACATAGTTGATCATGCACAGTTTGTCGTGAAACTCTTGTGAATTCCAACAGTATATTGATGTGTCCTTTGTGTGGCACCATTGTAGGGATGTAGAATGATTAAAGTGCATTAGGATGAAATACCCCATTGCCTTCATAATTTCCTTATTTTTAGCATAGCTCTTCACTAATTCCTTAGTCTTTTTTACTTTCCTAGTCAGTAGCACTTCATCTGAGTTCAAAAGTCCTTTGCCCCATAACAACAACTTGAAATATGTATTGTCAAATCTGACTGGTGATGTGAAATCTAGAGGGGAAATGTTATTGTCTCCGCCTCTTCTGGGACAAGTTGCTTTTAAACCAGTGTAGTAAGTTTTCTCAAGTGTTGCATCCGACAAGTTGTCATCTTTAGATGTTGCTGTCATTTAGATGTTGTTGTTGTTATTTGGATATGAGGCTTTCCTCTTCCTTATTGTGGCTGGGGCAATCTACATATGTTGTCATCTACATATGCTGCTGTCGTTTAGTTGCACTTTGCAAAGTATTTGCTTAATTCTTGTTTTCAATTTTGCTTCTTTATTAAATTTTGTTTTGAATCGAGTGTTGGTTCGACTATCTGCTGCTAAGAATATTGTTGGATTGAAGAATCAAGCTATTTTTACTAGGTTTCAGTAGGTAGTTGTTGAAGTTTGGGTTCTAATCAATTTGATTGAAATGTTCATATTTTAGCTTAGTTGTTTTTGCTTACAAATGTTAGGTGAGGGAGTTGGCTACTCTAATAGTGATGAAATGTTCAAGATATTTTTTCACATTATACTTTATCTTTTGACATAATTATTTTATAATTTCAGGTCAAACCGTCTGATGTTGGATAATTTAGCGGGTAAAAAATTTCAAAATAATGAAAAGTTGCGGAAATCATTTAAAGACCATCATTCGTATGAATTAATTATATAATGACATTAGTTATTTAGTCTAAACAATATATTTTTATGTTTTAAATTACTGTAATATTAATGTTTTTGATTAGTACTTCCTTTTGTTTGTTAAGATTAATGAGATACATTATATTTTTTTAATTAATATTAATATATTTTATTATTTGAGTCATATTCTGTATGAATATAGTAACTATTATTAATTGTGGCTAAACTATTTATAATTGATGTAAAATAATTATCGTTAAAGATATTGACGTTTAGCGGCAATTTAGTTAAACATATTAGCCATTAGAATGGAAGCTAAAAGGGCAAACTAAGATGTTTTCAGAAGGGATATTATGGCCATTTTAATTGCCACAAAATAATTGCCATTAAAGATGCGAACTTTTAGTGGAAATTATTTTTAATTTAGCAGCTATAAAAAATAGATGCTAAAGAAGTATAATTAGCCGTTTGGATTGGATTTAGTAGCCATTATAATTGCCGCAAATAATTGCCCTTAAAGATGCGATTTTTAGCAGCAAATATTTTGAATGTAGCGACTATAATAATGGACGCTAAAGAAGTATAATTAGCCGTTTTGGATTGGATTTAGTAGCCATTATAATTGCCGCAAATAATTGCCGTTAAAGATAATAACTTTTAGTGGCAATAAAACATACCGTTTACCAGCTTTTGCGAGAATAGCCGCTAAAGGCTTTGCCGACATCAATTTCAACGGCAAAAGACTAATGGCCGGTAAAAGATATAGCGGCTATTATTATTGCCGCTAAAGCCATTTTGAATTACCGCTAAAGGTCTTATTTGTAGTAGTGAGGTTAGCCTTCACGTCATTTTTGAAATGTTGTAGGCACAACAACTGGCGATTGCTCAACTGCAAAGCCACCAAAAAACTCCAAGCATAACAGCACCGGAAACGGCTCCTCGAGCCGAACATGTGCCGAAAATATCGAGCAACAATGGGTAGGCAACCGACCCCGCTATTATAGAGATGCTCGAGGACCTCAGAAAGAGGATTGAATCGGGCGAAAAGAAGATAGAAACCAATGACAAAAAGATAGAGACCTACAATTCAGGGGTCGATCAGATCCCAGGTGCACCCCCGATTCTGAAGGGTGTAGATTCAAAGAAATTCGTACAAAAGCCATTCCCATCGAGTGCTGCTCCAAAGCCCATCCCGAAGAAATTCAGAATGCCCGATCTCCCGAAGTACAACGGAACCTCTGACCCCAACGAGCACATCACTGCTTACACTTGTGCTATAAAGGGAAAAGACCCAAAGGGCAACGAGATTGAATCCGTCCTGTTGAAAAAATTCGGAGAAACACTTTCAAAAGGGGCCATGATGTGGTATCACAACCTATCCCCGAATTCGATAGACTCATTTGCCATGCTGGCAGATTCATTTATAAAGGCACATGTTGGTGCCATCAAGGTTGCTATAAGGAAATCCAACGTCTTCAAAATCAAATAGAGAGAAAACGAGATCCTACGAGAGTTTGTATCTCGCTTTCAAATGGAGCGAATAGAATTACCACTAGTCTCCGATGACTAGGCAGTGCAGGCCTTCACTCAAGGTTTGAACGAACGAAGCTCGATAGCTTCGAAGCAGCTAAAGCAGAACTTGGTTGAATATCCCGTTGTAACTTGGGCGGATGTCCACAACCGGTATCAATCAAAGATTAGGGTCTAGGATGACCAACTAGGAGCCCCCTCGGGCTCAGTATATCATAGCAGGCTCCTGGAAAAGGAATCAAAGCCAAACAAGTAAAGGTATCAACCGTACACTGAAGATCGAAGAAACGCCCCAAGGTGTAATATACCCCAAAGCGACGGAAGGATAGATCGAGGTCAGAATCCTCGAGGACTCATGAGCAGAGCCGGATTCGACAGACACGCAGGACCAACAGAGGCACCCTGGCTATCCGAGTACAACTTCAACATTGATGTTTCGGACATCATATCAGCCATAGGTAAAATCAAAGAGACCAAGTGGCCAAAACCCATACTATCAGATCCGTCGCAAAGGAACCTTAACCTGATGTGCAAATTTCACGGCACACACGGTCGTAGGACCAAAGATTGCAGACAGCTCTGAGAAGAAGTATCTCGATTAATCAACAAAGGGCACCTTCGAGAGTTCCTCAACGAATGAGCCATAAATCAATTTCGGAAAGGAGAGGCGAACAGGAAAAATGAAACAGAAGAGCCACAACATGTCATCCACATGATCGTTGGAGGAATCGACATCCCACAGAAACCCACTGTCAAGTGAATAAAAATATCCATCACCAGGGAAAAGCGAACTCGAGGTTACATACCCGAGGACGCTCTCACATTCAGCGAAGAGGACATCGAGGCCCTGCCTTAGCCTCATAACGACACATTGGTAATTTCTTTTCTTGTGAATACATTTCAAATTAAATGTGTGCTTGTGGATCCAGGTAGCTCGGCCAACATTATCAAGTCGAGGGTGGTGGAGCAGATCAGTCTGCTCGACCAAATCGTGCTCGCCTCTCGAGTCCTCAACGAATTCAACATGGCGAGCGAGACAACGAAAGGGGAGATCACCCTCACCGTCAACGTGACTGGCACAACCTAAAATGTCAAGTTTCATGTCATCGAAGGAGACATGAGATACAATGCCTTGCTCAGAAGGATATTGGTACACTGCATGAGCAGTATCATCAACCCTTCATCAAATGATTGAGTTTCCAACAAAGGATGGAATAAAAAGCTATACGGGGAGCAACATGCAGCAAGAGAGATGCTCGCGGTGCATGACGTAACACCGACATCGACACCTTCAACATCGAAGGAACCAAAAGATAAGCAAACAACGAAGTGGCAATCACAAGCTACATTTTTGGCTGCACCTGAGTGAGTAAGCAAATGACCATACCGCGTCCCTAGAGCAAGCAGATGAAGCATATCGAGGCTCGAAACGCCATCACTACTAAGGTATAACCGTCTCCCTTTTCATTTACATATTACACTAACCTGTGTGCAGGTGTCCGAGTAGAAAAATCGAAGCACCTTACAGCTTGAAGACCTTGGGTTTTGAAGCATGCATTGCACTCTTTTCCTTCGATCGGATTTTATCCCAAGAAGGGTTTTACCGGCAAGGGTTTTAACGAGGTAACATCTATATGATACCTAAAAAGAATCTAACAAGTATTCAAGACTTCTCTTCAATCAACCTTGAATACTGGGGGGCATCCCCCGGGAGATCACCTCCCTGGAGAAATCAAGATGAGCCAAAGAGGTTCTCGATAGAAAAATGATGTATCGGGCCAAACGGTCAAATGAACCGTGTCCGCATAGAATAATCAAATCCTTGACGACGAAAACATGTATACTTTTACCAAGTAATCAAAGGAGTATCTTTTACCATCAAAATGCTTCGTACTTCAAAGAATTTTGCTATTTTTACAAGAAACGGACCCAGGGGCAGAAATTTCCCGAACACTTGGGAAATGATATCAAAAACTCGAAGCCTTAGACCTCCGGGCCGGAAACTTCAAGCTCGTAATCCCTCAATGAGGTAACATCAAGTTTACAAAGAACGACTCCAGAGCCAAAGACTTTCGATGTCTCGGGGATTGTCGCCGACTGTCACCCCATCGAGCTATCAAAAACTCGAGGCCATAAGACCCCAAGCAGGCAACCTCGAGCCCGAAAGCCCTCCATATAGCAATGCTAGAAAATGTAAGACCTCCATGATGCATTATCAACAATGTAAGACCTCCATAAGGAGCCTCGAGCTCATAAGACCTCCACAAGGCAATATCAAATCTGTAAGACCTCAAGCTTGGCATGAATTATACTTGTGCCAAGTAACCCACTTGTAAGACCTCAAGCAAGGCATGAATTATACTTGTGCCAAGTAACCTATATGTAAGACCTAAAGTAAGGCATGTTCAAATTTATAAGACCTTACAAAAGGCATAATCCCAATCTTAAAGTCAGGGCAATATATTCGAATTTGTAAGACCCCGAAAAAGGCGTACCCTCGATATAGACGCCGAGGCTACCTCACTCGGGGACTAAAAGGCTATAGCCAAACACAATGAATACGGTCATAAGGCTCCGGCCGAACTAACGCAACTCGGGGATGCCCGACCGTCGCCATAAAATCATAGGCCTTCAATTACTTCAGAAATACTTCGAAAAGAACCAGTTAATCAGGCTACCCTCGGCATAAAAAGGATTCGAAAAGAGCTTCGATTATATCATCTCCAAGCAATAAAAAGTCTTCGAAATAATTCAACCATTGAGCGAAAATTCCCAAGGTGCTCATTTATCGTTACATAACGGCTCACAATCGAGGTTCTTATCGAACCATAGAAGAGTTGAACGAACACAAAAACTTCAAAAAAGTCTTTAACGAGGGAAAAATAAAGCCATATTAGAGGTCGTACCGACCCAACACATAAGAGCCTAAGCGTCAGCCTATATTAGAGGTCGTGCCGACCCAACGCGTAAGAGCCAGCTTAAAATTCAAAAACCTAAGGGTCGATGAGCTCGATTCGAAACCCGACTCGAAAACTAAGCCCGAAACGGTTAACTAAAAAGTGCTTAAGGGCAAATGCGTAAGAGCCTACGGGCCAGCCTAATAAGCCTCAGGGCCAATTTGTGAACCTAAGGGTTCTACCTTGAAGGCCAATTCATCTGGCTAATCATTAACAAACGTCAAAATTCAAGACAAAGAAAGACATACACAAACAAAGAAAAATTCATGAAAGGGGAAGACCAGAAGGCTTTTTTTTATATGTATATGTGAAATAATACAAAGCTTCATTTACAATGTTCTCAAAGAGCATTATACACAGAATCAGAAAGGAAAAGCCTAATCTACTTTCCCCTCGGGGACTGCAGCCCCATCGGCCTCTCCCTAATTATCTTTGGCATCAGATACAAGGAACTTGGCATCGTATTCATCCGATTATTTAGCCCCCGGGCTACCCGAGTCCGAGCCAGTTCTCACTCGAGGACTATGTTAAAGCCTCCGGGTTATCTTTTTTTTTTCCTCGAGTTCGAGCAAACACTCACTCGATTATTTAGCCCACCCGAGTTCGAGCCAGTTTTCGCTCGGGGACTATTCATAAAGCTCAGGGCTATCTTCATTTTAAGTTCAAAGCAATTTTTCGCTCAGTTGGAGGCCAACCGAGTTCAAGCAAACTCTCACTCGGGGACTGTTTGTAAAGGCCTAAGGGTTATCTTTATTTTTAGATGATCAAGCAAACTCTCACTCGAGGACTAGCAACGAAGCCTAAAAAGGCTATGCTTTATTTCAAAGAAAATCAGGACCCTGCTCTCACTCAACTCGAGCTCAGAAGTCCCGACGACCTAAGTTTATATCAGATCGATCTAGACTTAGTCCAAGGGATGACAAGGAATCTCAATAAATACCATATTAACCAATCGAGAACCAAAGGGATTACGATGACCGGGTCCATCATTCGGACCGATCAAAAGTACAATGGAAGTTCATCACATGCCAAAGGCAAATCAAAGAAACTTATGTATTGATAAAAGACGATTATAAAAGCCCACGGGGGGTCCTTACACAAACAAAGAAGCAAAAAACAACAGCTAAAAAGCCTGATCACTTTCGAAGGTACATCCTCGGGAGTGACATTTGCGATAACCGTTTCCTCGGGGATCCCATTTTGATCTTCAGAGCGTTGTCTTCGAGAATCTCCTCCGAAGCAGCAATAGATAAGGAAGAGGCTATTGCCTGTCAAAGATCAAAAGCTTTTAACAAGCAAGAGAAATCGTGGCCTGGTGAAAAACTTGGCCAGTATGGGCCTCGCCAACACTACTATTGTGAAGCCACTTCTTGAGATATTGCACCGGTGTGGGATGCAAAAGTTAGTAGATAGCGCCACGTCACTCCATGGAAAGAAGAAGGAGTGAAGTGCCACACCAGGTTGAAGTTAAGAGAGATGAGCAGCAGTTTACAGTCCACATATCATGTGGTACGGGAAGAACTTGAGGCCCCTCTCTCATTATTTCGGGCCAACAACAACAACAACAACCCAGTATGATCCCACTCAGTGGTGAAAGATTCCGAAAAAGAACCGTGGCATAACTGGCAAAACTGTTGTCGTGCGACCTTGCGGTCACGGGTTTGAACCATAGAAATAAAAGTTTGGTTGAGGATGAAGAAAGGAAAAGGGCTAAAGGCTGTTGAAGAATGACTGGGAGAAATCTTGGTTCAAGTAATCTCCCATTTATAGAAAGACAGTAACGTAACCGACGGCGCAATTAATGCCTTTGGGAAACATATCAACAGGCGTAATCAATGCTTTTGGGGAAACGGATCGGCGATGCAATCACCGCTTTTGAAAAAAGGAACCGACAGTGTATTCAATGCTTCTGGGGAGATGAACCGATGAGATGTTTCAGTCACCACGAAAGCTTACGTCATAAGCGGGATGTCATTATGAGAGGCTCGAGAAAATCAAGGTCAAAGTCCTTTCATATTATTTTATTCTAAGAAACGCGGGGACTATCTGTATACGGCTAAAATCGGAGAGTCTAATTTTATGATCATTGTGACATTCCATAGCCCATCTTCAGAAGCCTCGAAGCATATCTCGAGGTTTGACCCCGAGGGTTCCCAATGCTCGACCTTGAGGCAGTGCAAATCAGTGGCTATCTTAGACAAGCGGAAAATTCCCAAAAGGCACGTGGCTAAAGCTGACCAAGTCTACAAGAATAGTACAAGTCCGTACTGTGATATTAAATAGTTGTACCAGCTATTTATCTTTGTAATAAATGCATATGTACTATGTTGGGATTCCCCCTCCTATATAAAGGGGACCCTTGTCATTTTGTAAAGACACATGATATTCAATACAAGAACAAAAACATTCTCTGCTCTCTAACTTAAACATTATCCATTGTCTTTCCTTTGATTTATTGGTTACATTTATTGCGTTTCATTGATTGTTCCTCATTTATTATTTATCATTGATCATAAAGAGCCATTATTGAGGCCCTTGGAACTGTTAGTCCTTCATCGATCATCCCCAGTCAAGTTCATCAGCTCGACCTCGAGGCCCAGCTTAGGCCAGTCCGAGACCCCAATTCGTAGCCGTTCGGTTTGAATAACAACACTGCCTCTTACTCTTAGTTTACTTTCCTAGCTCACACTTAGCATCAGTTGCCTAACAACTAGATTCAAATAAATCACGTATTTTTAGAACCACAAAATCAAATCTAATTGTCATTACCATTTTCAAGGTAAATAATATGACTCAGATGAATCTTCCACCTAACAGCAACGTGAAAAGTTGAGAAGTGAGGATAAGGAATCTTTGGATCTAGCAAACAGAGAATGAATAACGTATGTTGAGTCAAGTAGTCGGTGAACAAGACAATATTTGTATATTCTTTTTAGTCAACTCTTTACAAAGTGTTCTTATCAAGAAAAGTGAAGATCCACTTTTTTCTCTATATATTTTCCTATTTATAAGGGATATTCCCAAGAAACCCTAAAAAGTACAACATAGGGAATATAAGGAATATTCCTTGTATCCATTCTAAACATATCCTACCGTTACTTCTTTACTCCAGCTGCTCGCCCTCGGCAATAATCCTTCTGAGGACGACTCCTCGCTATTATGCCGCGGTCGACCCCGTCCTCGACCCTATTTATCTACAGCTATCAAGTCGCCAAATTTAAACCAATACACCTACGACATCCCCCACCTTTTGATCTCCGCTCTTATATTGTTTGACTAGATTATATGTAAATACTTTTAAAATATACTTACCAAACATCAAAAGATAAATAAACAAACCTTTTATTTTTCAAAAAAATATTTTTTAAAAGAAAGTTTTCGTGCAAAACAATTTTCGTACCAAACACACTCCTAGACCAATCTTGTATATTATAGGAACAAAGGCTCGCTCCAAGTATTGTAACTGAAATTTGAAGTTGAAATTTCGCAAGCTATTACCCACATATCTCGATCGCTAGGCGATCTTTCAAGGACTTGTCAAAGAATAGTTTGAATATTACACAATAATCACCAAATAATATATTAAATTTTTTCCTTGTAATAACATAATATTGGCGTTTGTAATTTAAAGTTAATTTTAGGTATTATTGTTGAACTTTAATGACTATGTTAATAGATTATTAAATTATTTTTCACACATTAAATTACCGTTGGTAATATTAAAGTAAAAAAAATATTTTTAAACTACTTTTTGTGACATCAAACTTACTAATTATTTTTATCACGTTAAATTAAACTATATATGAACTGTTTATAAGACGGGCACAAGATGACAAGCTAGAACTCTTTATGTTAGGATGGACACATCTTCTCCTATAGCACACATGTGTACGACATGTCTGATTCATATTTCAAGGGTAATATTGTCTTTTCAGCTAATTTTATATGCTTCGCTTGGATTATACCGAACCTGGGCATTCTACAACCTCTTCTAGAGCTTCTCTCTTCTAACCAGGCAGGCAGAATTAACACCCGGTTTATTGCAAATTCAGTATCACCAATATCAAATAAGCTCCGCCGTCTGTCAATTCCCAGCTTCCACCTTTTGGCTCCTTGCGCTTCTTCATCTCATCTTTGCACTTTTGTGAATTTTCCCGTTTGGATCGTTGTTTCTTGTGAGTTCTCTTCTCCTTCTTCGCATACCGTGTTTCTCTATTTTATTTTTTATGGCATGTTAGGGCTTTATTGCAAAGAGAGTTTCATTTGTCAAACAGCTTTGTCTTTAGGTGTTTGAGGCAATTCCTGAATGAATTAGCCATTTTTTTTATTTCTACTATTGTTTTGGGTTTATTGAAATAGTTGGGGAAACCTGCGACTAAATACTAACAACCGCTTTTGCTTTCAATTAGACAGTACGAATTGAACTAAACCATCCATGCCTTGTGTCTTTTCTCACAAAGAAGAGAAATTTCAATATTAAGTTTGCAATGAGATCTTTAATTGTTTGTTTTTCACACTTGGTCTTCGTGAATCAGAGTTTGAAGCTTTTAACATATGGATGTACAGTTTATTTTTTGTTCACATTGATAAGCTGTTAAATCTGTAAAAGCCCAGATGTTCTCAAAGTCTTGCTATTTCATGTTGTTTTATCAGTATAAGCTAAGGGTGTTAAACGGGTGGGCCGGGCCGGGCTAGTTTGGGACTTTTTGGGCCCGTACGGGTTATGGTCCGGGCCGGTTACGGGTTGGGACTTACCGGGTTTAACGGGTTCGGGTTTATTCGGTTAAAAATTGAACCGTAAGGGTTACGGGTTGAGGGGGCTGGGTCGGGCCGGTTTTAGTGTATTTTTTTTTTTTTTTTGTATTTTGTATAACTATTGTAAGTTATATTAATACAAAGTATTAACATAAAGAATACAAGGAAGATGAGAAAAAATTGCACTTATAAATTGCAAGTGCTACATTTATTTCAAAATTACAAAATTAAAGTTTGCATTTAAAAAGTAAATTAACAAAAAAATAGTAAAACTAAATTTTCATGCATAATAAATTAATAATACTTCATATTAATCTAACAATTAAAACATTAAGCATAAATACGTCTAATAATTTTAAAATGACACAAATTGTCTTAAAATCTTAAATACGAATTTCCGGAGCGTGCTCAAGACGATACTTTATATGCCTCCTTAAACTGCATGTGCCAGACCCTGAACGAAGATTTAAGACTTGACCACATTTCTTGTACTTTACTTTCTGACCTTCTTCATTTTCTTCTACCACCTCAAAGTGTTGCCAAACATATGAGCGCACTCTAGAAGTACGAGACATGATTTAACTTGAATTGAGATTTGAGAATTGAGATTGAGAGATGAGTGAAGTAATGAGGAAGAGGAGGGGGGTATTTATAGTTTTAAAGAAGGTTAATTTTGTAAATTGAAAAAAAGGTTAAATTTTAAAGAAAAAAGAGGCTATTAATGCAATTAAGGGTGTTAAGCAACGGATCCCTGCCAGGGGTGACCGTTGCCAACGGTTAGTGGGCCCCATAGATTTCAAAAAATTAAAAAAAACAAAAAAAAGAAGAAGATTTAGCCGTTGTACCGGTCCGGTCTGGTTAAACCGGTACACGGTACTGTTCACGTGGACCGGGTTTGACCGGTTCGGTTAATCGTTAAAAAAAAATAAACGGACCAACCCCCTCTACCCCTCCTACCCAGCCCCACCCGGCCCCTATGTACCGGGCCGGTTCGGTTCTGGTTTTTTCCGGTCTAGGCCGGTCCGATTATGGGTCAACCTGGCCCGTTAGACACCCTTAGTATAAGCTACTAAATAGCTATTTGGGTCTGGTAGTATCTTCAGTTTGATATAGGACATACAACAACAACAACAACAATATCCCAGTATAATCCCACAAGTGAGGTCTGGGGAGGGTAATATGTACGCAGACCTTACCCCTACCCCGAGGGGCAGAGAGGCTGTTTCCTGGAGACCCTCGGCTCAAGAGAGCAACAAGAGACAATATATTAGTACTATCAATAGGCTCATAATAAAACATATAATACATAACATAAAATAAAAATAACAACAATATAAGAAATATAGGAAATACGAAAATGATGGAGAAAAGGATGTAAGGTATACTAATATCCAATAGATATAGCGCTGCATCAGTAGCTGATCAGTAGCATCCTAAGACTAACTCCTAAATGGTTAGTCTCACTCTAGTGCGCTGTATTAATATTCACAAACTACCCTCTAACCTACAACCTTAATGCTCGACCTCCACAATTCCCTGTCAAGGGTCATGTCCTCAGAAATCCTAAGTCGTGCCATGTCCTGCCTGATCACCTCCCCCCAATACTTCTTAGGCCTCCCTCTACCTCTCCTCGTGCCCACCACCGCCAGTCGCTCACACCTCCTCACTGGTGCATCAGTGCTCCTCCTCTGAATGTGCCCGAACCATCCGAGTCTTGCTTCCCGCATCTTGTCCTCCAAGGGGGCCACGTCCACTTTCTCTCGAATATCTTCATTCCTAATCTTGTGCATCCTTGTATGCCCGCACATCCACCTCAGCATCCTCATCTCTGCTACTTTCATCTTCTGGATGTGTGAATTTTTAACCGGCCAACACTCGGTCCCATACAACATAGCAGGCCTAACCACTGCTCTATAAAACTTACCTTTTAGTAACGGTGACACTTTCTTGTCACACAAGACTCCCATTGCTAACCTCCACTTCATCCACTGCACCCCTATACGATGTGCGACATCCTCATCGATCTCCCCGGTCCCCTGAATAACTGACCCAATGTACTTGAAACTACCCCTCTTAGGGATGACTTGCGAGTCGAGCCTCACTTCCACTCCTGCTTCCGTCGGCTCGGCCCCAAATTTGCACTCGAGGTATTCCGTCTTCGTCCTGCTCAGCCTGAAACCTTTAGACTCAAGGGCATGTCTCCAAACCTCTAGCCTCTTGTTGACTCCGCGTCGTGTCTTGTCAATTAGGACTATGTCATCCGCAAATAGTATGCACCATGGCACCTCCCCTTGAATATGATGCGTTATGGCATCCATCACCAGGGCAAATAGGAAAGGGCTGAACGCAGACCCTTGGTGCAACCCCGTAACAACCGGAAAATGGTCGGAGTCGCCTCCTACTGTCCTAACCCGAGTCTTAGATCCATCATACATGTCTTTAATCGCCCTAATGTAGTCAACCGGGACCCCTTTAACCTCTAGGCATCTCCATAGGACGGTCCCTAGGAACCCTGTCGTACGTTTTCTCTAGATCGATAAACACCATGTGGAGATCCTTCTTCTTATCCCTATATTGTTCCATCCTCCTCCTAATAAGGTGGATAGCTTCTGTGGTAGATCGTCCCGGCATGAACCCGAACTGGTTATCTGAAATAGACACCGTACTTCACACTCTCATTTCTACCACTCTCTTCCAGACTTTCATGGTATGACTCAGTAATTTGATACCCCTATAGTTGTTACAATTCTGCACATCGCCTTTGTTCTTATACATCGCCTTTGTCCCAGACTTTCCTATATCAATTTGATATAGGACATAAAAAGGGAAAAATTAATTTTTCATCAAACATTATTGTCGCTTTCCTATAGATTACATGCGTACACTTATTTTATGTACTGAGATTCTTTCCACATATATGCACAATCCTTTAAATCAATTAAGAAGATAAACAGAAATAGTAAATGAAATCAAGCTGTTGGGATTAGCATTTGGTAGTCAGCTTACTGAATGCTAATTTGAAAAAATAAGTAAACTTTCTTAAGATTTATTTCCTCGCTGTTGGAGAATTCACAATGTTCTGTTAATGTAAATGCTATAGAAGCCACTATCCTGTGTGCATGTCCGGAGTGCTTGTAAACAACAAAATTTTAATTTATCACACTTTGTCTTCAGTGAGATTGTAACTTGCATCATACAATATGTACGATGACCACACTGAACAATGATTGCACAACTATTATGCATAACTGATTAGACAAAAAATATATTCAATGACATACAGATTGTTCTATTTGCTCTAAATAGCTACAAAATTTTAAAGAATAATAACCAACATGAGTTCATACACTTAGAGTTGAATAAAAAACAAATAAGCCAAAACTACTTACTGCAGCAAGAACCCTCAGGGGTTGGCCTGGTGGCAATTGACTTGAGCCTTGGGGTTTGCTCCCTTTCAAGGTCTCAAGTTCGAAACCCACCGGGCGCAAACAATTTCTGAGGGCCATCGGACGGGGTAAAACTTGAATTAACCGTGGTGCACTTGCGGGAAACTCCTTGCCGAGGGCCTGTGCACCCCCGGGATTAGTCGGGGCTCGAAGAAACTCGGACACCCGGTGCAAATCAAAAAAAACTTACTGCAGCAAGGACATAAGATTGGTACATCATGTGTATCATATAAACCTCATGATCGATAGAGTGTCTTGAGTTCAACAGAAAGTAACACATCATCTCTTAAGTATGTTGGAAGTTCAATTATGTTGTTGCAACATCATACTAATCTAATGCTAAAACACCACAGTAACCAGAGAGGAAAGTAGCCTATAAAAAGGGTAACTAAAGAGGAAAGTTTAGTGTTCAGGGAAATTATTTGCCAAAGTTCCAAAGTAGAATTTTTTTAATAATATAGGGACTTAGTAGACCCATTTGTGCCACGGGAAGAATTAAATGATAGTTGCAGCACTAATAACCAAAGTCGCATACATATAAAATGGCAACCAGTCGTAGAAACTCATGACAAACCCCAGGAAAGTTGTTATGATAAGTAAGTGTTAAATTAAAATATTTCAAACCCCCCAAAAGTTCTTGTGATAAATTAGTCTTACACTAAAATATTCCTCTATCGGATGAAGAAGTAAATAGTGAAGTTCAACAAATTTTCTCATTGTATTTCTGTGGGTAATACATTAATCTTTAATAGATATAGTGTTCCGTGATATTAAAAATATAACTTATGTCTTTTTAAAACATCTCATGGGAACTTCGGTTGGAAATATTTATAGGTGAAAAGAGAAGTTGAACTGCCGCGACCGATGGATTCTAAAGAACCAAACAAGTACTCATACGCAGAAAAAAAGAAGGCTGCAATGCAGCTTAAACGGCGTGATACGCAGAGCCAAATATCTGCTCGTAGAAGGGAAGCGATGTTGCTGTCGCGACGTATGAGAAGACAAAATTTTGCAAAGCACAACCTTCTTGAAAGTCCGATTGTTGCTGTCCTAGAGCAGGCAACATCATCTTGGGACAAAGCAGAATTTCTAAAACAAACTACTCTTACCATACGAGAACCTCCTTCCCTTGCGGAAAAAGGTTAAGAGTTTTGTACTCATTTTAGAAACCATATGTTATTGATACAATGGTGCTAATGTATTCTGTTTGGAAACTTAGTATAATACCTTATTTATCTTATGTGCCTATAAGTTAAAATAGTCAAATAGCACGTGCTCTATTGTACTCTATTTTGCATCTACTGAAGCTTCGTTGTACGCTTTTAAATGCCTTCGATGTTGTGTTACCAGCTACCAGCCATCAAGCTTGCGTGAGTACATCGCGGGATAATTTAGAAAAAGGAAAGGGTATATTGGATCCCCCTATCATTCGTGAAACAGGTAACGATATCCTTCGCTTTGTGAAAAAGGTTATGTTGTTGTACTCATGTTTATACACTATATATTATTAGTACAAGGATGCTTATTTATTTTATTTGCAGATTGAGTATGATATCTTACTTATCTTATATGTGCCTATAAATTAAAATACAAGAATACTATATGATTTTTTTACACACTATTTTGCATCTACTGATGCCTCATTGTACGCTTTTAAACGTCTTGGCTATTCTGTTTACCAGCTGTCAGTCTTCAAAGTTGCACGACTAGAGTCATGGATAATCCAGAAAAAGGAAAGCGTATATTGGATCCCCCTATTATTGTAAACCTGCCTTTACATTGTATTTTTTTTAGAATGACATTGTTTGTACATTATTATAATTTGTGACTATTTGTATTTTATGGTCCGCATCGGATACATCTAACCTGCCTCCTGTTTCGTTGAACGCTGTTCCAATCAAAGGTTTGCACAAACTTTTTATTATAATAATCTCCACCATACATATACCTTTGTGTTTCCCTTTTTTTTATGATACTTCTTATATATTCAGTTCATAGCCGGGCTAGAAAGGTTTGTCCGGCCGCTAAAGAGCTACGAAGTGAGTAAGTTGCTCTAAAAAAGGTTCCGCACTGCCAATACTGTCGTGCAAAGAGGTTCGAATATGAACCTCCAGGATTTTGCTGTAACAGTGGTTCAATAAGGTTGACATCTCATAAAATGTCAACTAAATTATCAGAGTTATACTTTGGAAATACTGAAGAATCTGAAAACTTTCGAACTTATATTAGAACGTACAACAACATGTTTGCACTTGGTGTAAAGTATGATAAAGAGCTAGCGAAAAAGAAATTGTAGTATCTACAAATTTAGAGTCCAAGGACAAATGTATCATTTTATAGATGATTTAATCCCTTCCAATGAAAAACCCAGGAATTTACAGCTGTACTTCTACGACCATGATAATGAACTAGCTAATAGGATGGCTTGTTCGACAAAAATTAATGAATCGATAGTGAAAAAGTTGATGGACATATTGAAATTTAATCCATATACTATTTTCTTAAAATTTCTCTTGAATGTTCCTCAATTATCTGATTTTTATATTGCTCTTAAATGCCACTCAACCTTAGATCAACGAACATATAACTTACCCAGCTCATCGGAGATTGCGGCATTATGGCTTCAAGAAAATCCTAGAGACATTTGTGCACCACATATTCGAATATATACCCACAGTAATAGAGCTCGATTAGTACATTATTATTATGGATGTTATGATCCGTTGCAGTATCCGTTATTATTTCCCTTCGGTGAAAATGGATGGCATTGTGGAATCAAAAAAATTATTCAGACAAATAATGTGACGAAACGTAGAGCTTATTGTGAACATGAACAATTACCCAGTATATCAAACATGTGATCAATTGATGGATTTCTTGATATGGAAGACGACTCACTACAAAAAGGAAAACGAAAAAGAGATACAGTGTCTTGTCGAGAGTATTACTGTTACAAATTTTAAATAAGAGATAATGAAACAAACGAAGTGCTACATTGTGGAAGAATATTCCAACAATTTATAGTAGATGTATATATAAAGCTTGAAACACAAAGATTAGACTTCTTCTCATTTAATCCAGATTTATATAGGATTGAGGTCTTGCAAGGACTCCTTGATATTTTAAGATGTGGTGAAAGGGAAGCCTCAAAAATTGGAAAGAAAACGTTCCTCCCTATTACATTTATAGGGGGACCAAGGGACATGCGCCGACGATACATGGATGCTATCGCATTGGTACAATATTTTGGAAAACCTGATTTCTTTATAACAATGACTTGTAATCCTTCTTGGCCAGAAATAAAAGAACATTTGTCACAGACTGATGAGGTACAGAACAAACATGATTTAGTTAGTAGAGTTTTCAGAGCAAAGGTGGAAGAACTAAAGACTGATATTTTAAAAAGACAAGTCTTTGGAAGAGTTGCAGGATTCATGTATACTATAGAATTCCAAAAACGTGGTCTTCCACATGCTCATTTCCTTATTATACTTGCTGATGAACATAAATTACTGACTCCTGAATCTTATGATAGATTTGTCTGTGCAGAATTGCCTGATTCTAAAAAAGATTGCGATCTATATTCACTTGTTATTAAACATATGATGCATGGTCCTTGTGGAAAGCTAAATCCTACAAATATTTGCATGAAAAATAATAACTGCAAATTCAAGTACCCAAAAGATTTTGCTGAACAAACATTAAAAGGGAAGAATTCATATCCAATATACTTCCAGAATGAGAAGAACCGGAAAAGTTGTAGAAATAAGAGGTGAGCTTCTGGATAATTCTTGGGTAGTTCCATATAATCCAGTTTTGTTATGCAAGTATAATTGTCATATGAATGTTGAAGTTTGTTCTGATATCAAGGTAGTGAAATATATTTACAAATATATTTGCAAAGGACACGATAAAATTGCATTTCACATACATGGTAGTGATACAGATACAGACATAGATGAAATAAAAGAATATCAATCTGCTAGATGAGTTTCGCCCCCAAAAGCTGCATGACGATTATTTTATTTCCCAATAAGTGAAATGACTCCAAGTGTTTTTCACCTTCAATTACATTTGGAAGGACAACAATTTGTCTCTTTTAAAAGTATTGATAATGTTGATAGAATACTAAGTAATCCGATGATTCAAAAAACAATGTTAACTGAATTCTTTGTTATGAACAGAACAAATAAAGATGCTATGCAGTTGTTATTATTGTATAAAGAATTTCCCGAGTACTTTGTATGGTCATCTAAGGAAAAAATGTGGACACGTCGAAAACAACGTATTGTAATTGGACGTGTTGTAACATGTCATCCAACAGAAGGAGAAAGATATTATCTTAGATTATTATTGATAAACGTTAGAGGACCAAAATCATATCAGGACTTATGTAAAGTTGACGGCAACTGTTGTAGTACATTTAGAGAGGCTGCAGAAAAAAGAGGGTTGTTACACTGTGATAACAACTTGGTTGAATGTATGTCTGAAGCTACAAATTATCAAATGCCATATAGTTTAAGGCGTTTATTTGCAACATTATTGGTGTACTGCAATCCCGCTAACCCAACAGAACTTTGGAAACAATTTGAAGATTCTATGTCCGAAGATTTTAAGATTTTACCTAACATGAATGCTAAAGATATTCGTTTTATGGCTTTAAATCATATCAATGATATTTTGCATTTGATGGGACGTGATATTAATGAATATAATCTTATTCCTGAAAAAATTAAACCTTCAGCTGCTATTAGAGAAACCAATGTCTGTCAATTTGAAAGAAACATCATTGTTAGAGAAAAAGATTTGCTTCTAGAGAGAAAATTAAATACCGAGCGAAAAGCGTATGACACGATTCTTGATAGGATATTTTCTAACAAATCAGGAGCATTTTTTGTTGACAGAGCTGGAGGAACTGGAAAAACTTTTCTATACCGTGCTTTATTAGCTGGTGTATGATCAAAAGGTTTTGTAGCTTTAGCAACAACAAGTTCAGGTGTTACAGCTTCGATANCTGGAGGAACTGGAAAAACTTTTCTATACCGTGCTTTATTAGCTGGTGTTATGATCAAAAGGTTTTGTTGCTTTAGCAACAACAAGTTCAGGTGTTGCAGCTTCGATCCTCCCAGGAGGGCGAACTGCTCATTCCTGTTTTAAATTTCCTATTTATATCGATGAACAATATTCTTGCAACATTAGTAAGCAAAGCGCACTTGCAGCTTTAATACGTGATGCAAAACTGATTGTCTGAGGTGAAGTATCTATGGCAAAAAAGAAAGTGATAGAAACTTTTGATATTCTCTTGAAGGATCTAATGGATACAAATGCTCTATTTGGAGGAAAAGTGGTGATTTTAGACAAACTCTCTTGGTTGTTAGGAGTCGGAAAAAAAAGATTTTATTCAAGAAAGCTTATTATATTCTGAAATTTGGAATCTAACTCGAAAAATTGAGATTATCGGAGAATATGCGTGCAAAGACAGATCCTACCTTTTGTGAATATTTGATGAGAATTGGAAATGGACTAGAAAAAACAAATAGCTATGACAAAATTGAAATCCCCGATTGTTTTGTTATCCCTTTCATTTTTGAAAATCAATCCTTAGATTTGTTGTCTAGAGTTACTTATCCAGATCTACATACATGTTTTTCCGATGCATCTTCTATGACTTCACATGTAATTCTGACAACCAAAAATGACTTTGTTGATGAAATAAATGATTTGCTCATAGCTCAATTTCCCGGTGATCCTAAAACATATGTTGCATTTGATGAGACTATTGAACCAAACAATCAAAGTCAATATGAAGATTTTTTTGCATACTTTACATCCTGCTGGTTTACCTCCTCATAAATCGACCTTGAAAAAGAATTGTCCTGTTATGTTGTTACGAAATTTAAATCCTTGTGAAGGTTTATGCAATGGTACATGACTTATATCTCGTGATCTTCGAAAACATGTTATAAGTGCTAAAATTGCCTCCGGGGACTTTAAGAATACGCATGTATTTATTCCCAGAATACCATTATTATCATCAGCAGATGAAAAATTGCCTATTCCTTTCAAAAGAACACAATTTCCTGTGAGATTATGTTTTGCTATGACAATAAATAAAGCTCAAGGTCAAACGTTGGACTTCGTGGGAATTTATTTACGCGAACCTGTTTTTTCGCACGGTCAGCTCTACGTAGCGCTATCAAGAGCAAAAAGTTTCAATTGTGTAAAATTATTAATTCGACCAGGCACAACAGATAGTGATGATGATCATTCAACTTACAATATAGTTTACAACGAAATCATTCAAAAAGCTTTTCCATAAATAGTTTGTCACGTCCCAAACTACCCCCTATACGTGACTGACACCCAACTAACACTACCTGCCAGGCGAACCCCTTTCTCTAACGTTTGACCATTTACACAAACACTAAGAGAAAAAGATGCAGGCCTAATAGTATTATTAATAATTAAAGAGAAAATAATTATCGCCCAATACCTTAGTCAATTGATAGGAAAACCAAAAATCACTCAAATAATAAAACTCTAGCCCAAATCCCACACTAAGACCATAGAGCATCTAACAGAGTAATATGAGTTTTATTGACGGGTATGCAAACCCCAAAGAAAAAAAGAAACTAACTAACATGAATTAGGTAAGTCTGAATCGAAAGCCTTCACGAACAATGCGGTGGCTCACTTCAGCAATAAGATCCACTCGAACAAACTCGTCAGCCACTAGCTCTATCTCCCGCAACGGTATCTGCATAGAGATGCAGGTAAGGAGTGAGTTATACGTAAATATAACCCAGTAAGATCCTCAACCCGCCACTTTAAATACCCCTGGAACATGTGTTAGAAAATACAAACATACCACAACATGAATGATATAGTAAATATGATAATTATACAATAACTCAATATATGTGTATCAACAGAGTTATTAAGAATTAACCCACAAGAATACCCACTAAGGACTTATCATAATTGCAGTGAAAGAAATTTATCAACACACCTAAGCATACACAATGCCCCAAATATGTAACAGATCATACACAACACAACGGCACCACAATGCCTCAAATATGTAACAGAGCATACACAATGCTCACAGAAAGCACAATGCCCCAAATATATCAAGAAGCATACACAATGCTCGGGTGATGTACAAAGGCATACACAATGCTCGGGTGATGTACAAAGGCATACACAATGCTCCAACATCATGGCTCACAACCGTATCAAACTCAACATCATGGCGCACAGCCGTATCAAACTAACATCATGGCGCACAGCCATATCAAACTCAACATCATGGCGCACAACCGTATCAAACTCAACATTATGGTGCACAACCGTATCAAATTCAACATCATGGCGCACAGCCGTATCAAACTCAACATCATGGCTCACAAACATATCAAACTTAACATCATGGCACACAGCCATATCAAACTCAACATTATGGCGCACAACCATATCAAATCAGGAGCATTTTTTGTTGACAGACCTGGAGGAACTGGAAAAACTTTTCTATACCGTGCTTTATTAGCTGGTGTTATGATCAAAAGGTTTTGTTGCTTTAGCAACAACAAGTTCAGGTGTTGCAGCTTCGATCCTCCCAGGAGGGCGAACTGCTCATTCCTGTTTTAAATTTCCTATTTATATCGATGAACAATATTCTTGCAACATTAGTAAGCAAAGCGCACTTGCAGCTTTAATACGTGATGCAAAACTGATTGTCTGAGGTGAAGTATCTATGGCAAAAAAGAAAGTGATAGAAACTTTTGATATTCTCTTGAAGGATCTAATGGATACAAATGCTCTATTTGGAGGAAAAGTGGTGATTTTAGATAAACTCTCTTGGTTGTTAGGAGTCGGAAAAAAAAGATTTTATTCAAGAAAGCTTATTATATTCTGAAATTTGGAATCTAACTCGAAAAACTGAGATTATCGGAGAATATGCGTGCAAAGACAGATCCTACCTTTTGTGAATATTTGATGAGAATTGGAAATGGACTAGAAAAAATAAATAGCTATGACAAAATTGAAATCCCCGATTGTTTTGTTATCCCTTTCATTTTTGAAAATCAATCCTTAGATTTGTTGTCTAGAGTTAATTATCCAGATCTACATACATGTTTTTCCGATGCATCTTCTATGACTTCACATGTAATTCTGACAACTAAAAATGACTTTGTTGATGAAATAAATGATTTGCTCATAGCTCAATTTCCTGGTGATCCTAAAACATATGTTGCATTTGATGAGACTATTGAACCAAACAATCAAAGTCAATATGAAGATTTTTTTGCATACTTTACATCCTGCTGGTTTACCTCCTCATAAATTGACCTTGAAAAAGAATTGTCCTGTTATGTTGTTACGAAATTTAAATCCTTGTGAAGGTTTATGCAATGGTACATGACTTATATCTCGTGATCTTCGAAAACATGTTATAAGTGCTAAAATTGCCTCCGGGGACTTTAAGAATACGCATGTATTTATTCCCAGAATACCATTATTATCATCAGCAGATGAAAAATTGCCTATTCCTTTCAAAAGAACACAATTTCCTGTGAGATTATGTTTTGCTATGACAATAAATAAAGCTCAAGGTCAAACGTTGGACTTCGTGGGAATTTATTTACGCGAACCTGTTTTTTCGCACGGTCAGCTCTACGTAGCGCTATCAAGAGCAAAAAGTTTCAATTGTGTAAAATTATTAATTCGACCAGGCACAACAGATAGTGATGATGATCATTCAACTTACAATATAGTTTACAACGAAATCATTCAAAAAGCTTTTCCATAAATAGTTTGTCACGTCCCAAACTACCCCCTATACGTGACTGACACCCAACTAACACTACCTGCCAGGCGAACCCCTTTCTCTAACGTTTGACCATTTACACAAACACTAAGAGAAAAAGATGCAGGCCTAATAGTATTATTAATAATTAAAGAGAAAATAATTATCGCCCAATACCTTAGTCAATTGATAGGAAAACCAACAATCACTCAAATAATAAAACTCTAGCACAAATCTCACATTAAGACCATAGAGCATCTAACAGAGTAATATGAGTTTTATTGACGGGTATGCAAACCCCAAAGAAAAAAAGAAAATAACTAACATGAACTAGGTAAGTCTGAATCGAAAGCCTCCACGAACAATGCGATGACTCACTTCAGCAATAGGATCCACTCAAACAAACTCGTCAGCCACTAGCTCTATCTCCCGCAACGGTATCTGCATAGAGATGCAGGTAAGGAGTGAGTTTTACATAAATATAACCCAGTAAGAACCTTGACCGGCTAATTTAAATACCTCTGGAACAAGTGTTGGAAAATACAAACATACCACAACACGAATGATATAGTAAATATGATAATTATACAATAACTCAATATATGTGTATCAACTGAGTTATTAAGAATTAACCCACAAGAATACCCACTAAGGACTTATTATAATTGCAGTGAAAGAAATTTATCAACACACCTAAACATACACAATGCCCCAAATATGTAACAGAGCATACACAACACAACGGCACCACAATGCCTCAAATATGTAACAGAGCATACACAATGCTCACAGAAGCATGCACAATGCCCCAAATATATCAAGAATCATACACAATGCTTGGGTGATGTACAAAGGCATATACAATGCTCCAACATCATGGCGCACAGCCGTATCAAACTCAACATCATGGCGCACAGCCGTATCAAACTAACATCATGGCGCACAGCCATATCAAACTCAACATCATGGCGCACAACCGTATCAAATTCAACATCATGGCGCACAGCCGTATCAAACTCAACATCATGGCGCACAGACATATCAAACTCAACATCATGGCGCACAGCCGTATCAAACTCAACATTATGGCGCACAGCCGTATCAAACTCAACACCATGGCTCACACCCAAATCAAAATATCAAACTACTTATAAAATATTTTTATATTTTTCATAAAATAATATATTTACGGCTAGTCTAAGACCACCGATTCTGCCAAGCGCATGCTTGTCCCAACACATGGATCAGGCAGAGAAATCACATTTTCAAAACGGGTTGAAAAGCAAGCATCAAAGCTTAAAGTCTCACTGAAAAGTTTTCCAACCTTGCAACGTCTAGAACACCAATCAAATTGCCTCCAACAGCATCAATCTATCCAAAAGTATTGATTAACGATATCAATTATGATAGTCAGATTGATCTCATAATTCTTTTGAAACATTCAAAATAAAGTTAACTCAAAAGTCGACTCCCCGTTGATTATGGCTAAATCCCCGAACAAATTATATTATCGAGTTACCCATAAGTCATAGAGTCCAATCTATCATCAAGTTCCAATCTTGATACTATGATAAGTCAAATATGAATTTTTATACTAAATCCAACAATTGATATGCTAAACAGTCGACTAAACCCTTAATAATTCACACATTCAAAGCTTATTTGCCTGGCTTAAAAGGGTTTCTAAGCGTCCTAAACTTTACGCTCATTAATGCACCTGTAACTATACGTGAGTTGAGGAATTCAAACCTTATTACATGAATTTATGTAATGCAACTAATTTAACAATATATACAAAACTCTAAAACGAATTCCATATGCAAAGTGTTCTGACTTCAAAAAGACAATCTCAAATAGTTCTTATCCATTATTAAATAGTAAGGTTTTCATTACAAAATTCTACTCATATTACCAAGGCCTAATAAATACTACAATGTTTTCCATGGCCACTCTGTTCCAATTCGATCTTTGTCACTATAAGAAAAAGAATTAGTGATAATATCCCTCCTAGATTAATTCAAGAAATATAGCCATAGTGATAAAATTAAATCTATACCTTTCTATCACAGTTGAGTTGTAACGCGCAAGAATATTTCACTCTTTCTAGCACTCTAAGTTCACGCCACCAACGGTTCAAGAGAATCCCTGCCACTACCGAAAAGCTCTCTACATTGTAGTGAATTTCTCTTAGTTATCTAAAGTTAATTGTTCACTTATTCTAGGTCTTGCACATAACTAGAATGATGGGCTTAGCCCACTCTATTATTATATAATTATTAATTATCACTTGGCTAGCCATCGCACTTTACACCTATGTAAATGATAATCTCATTTAAAAAAAATATATATGTACATGCATATTAATACTTGTGAAAATTAAATAAATTATCACTAACAACATAACTTAAAAGCTTACTCTTAAGATATCAGGTTATTATATTTTCTCCCATTTAAGCAAGAGTTCATCCTCGAACGAATTAGAAAGTATAATTGAAGTCTCAAACATCTACAGGTAGATACCTGCTTGTCTGCCTGGACTCTCCCGTTGCTTCCTCTATAGGCTGATTGCACAATACTTTCACTTAAGCAATCTTTTTCGACCTTAACTGCCGCGCTTGTCTATCAAGAATAACTATCACACCTGTTTTAGTAAGTCAAATTCTCATCAAGTTCTACCTCTTCGGGTTGAATTATATCTCTCATTATGAACGTATCGTCTTTCGGAAAAAATCTCATAAATCCTTCGTGGTATCAAAATAAGTATTTTTTTTCATCTTCATGATCTCCCTACCACTATTTTCCGTATCTTTATAGGAATTTTGTTTACTTTAAGCTGCTTGAAGTCGTTCTCTTACGAACACGGCCCCTTTATTTTCATAGCTTGCAGAACCAACTCTGGACCTAATAGCTGTGACTTACTAGGTTTGAACCAACCAACTGGAGAATTACACCAACTTCATTTAATTCAAACAACAAGATCTGCATAACAAGCTAGTAACTATTATTAGGTACAAACTTGGTTAAAAGCAGCTAATCATGAACTACTCGCTATATGATATCCATTTGGCTAATTTTAGGACAGGATATCCATACTCTCTAATGCCTCCATTGCACTAGAACACATAAAAGCGCCCCGACCACCTTCCTATAATGGAACACATCCACCGTTCTTTCATACGTCAGTTTTAAAATACATCCAAGCAGCCCTACATAAGTCTCTCATGTACGACAACACTAGAACACATAACACTCTCACATACAGCAGTGGTGGGATACATTCACACACTACTATATAAATATTCGACGCCTTGTTACTCTTGTCACAGATAAGATATGGGCATCTCATCATATTACATTATTTCTTAAACATATCGCTACATAGGCTATTATGTTATATAAGCAAATCAAGCATGCGATCTCGTTGAGCATATCATGATCATCTAACTATAATCACAACTTTCTCTATGAATGTGTAGACCAACTACAAAGTCTACAATGATCTATTTTCACTTCCTTCGAGAGAAAATTATATTTGTGATGATTGCTCGAGTCTCTAACACCCATATTTAGTATATTAACAATTCATACTCTGAAAAATAATATTTATGATACCATATATTACCTTCAGTTGTCATTAACTCTTTTTCTCAGATCCCAATGCATATATGTAGATCTCGAAGGTACTGAATATTGCAAGTGATATATCTCATCGAGTATAAATCTCCCTACACCAACCACCACGGGTGTACACGTATTGGACTCTTTAGCCATAATATTCCCTCTCCTTTCACTATCAAGTAGGACTCCCCTCTAAGAGCTAAATACTACCCCCCAAATAAGGTTAGGACTCTCATACAGATGAACTTTACCTATTCAAATAAAGAAAATTGTAATTTACACATACTAGTGCCTTAGTGAGCATAATGCCATCAACCTGTCATCCTTAGCATCACATGATTCAAAATATCGCAGTATAAAAATTAAAGATTATACTTACGATCTCGGTATTTAAAAAGATTATTTGATGTTTATAAGACCCTCCTCAACCCCTCCATATGCTCAATTCGAGTAGGAAAATATTTCCATATTTCATTAATGAACATAATAATAAGAATTCTAAGGAACAATTTAAACACTTGGTTCCTCTAGTTCATGACATTACTAATGACCTCGGTATCCAAGAGATGTCATCAGAAGTTCAAACTAACTAAAATAGATCTTAGACCATATCTTCAGATTATCCAACTCATTTACCTTCCACTTATAATGTCACAATCACAAATCTATCTTAAAATAAAAGATAACCTATAAGTGAAGATACAAATCATCTAAGCATGAAACGATACTTTCCCCTTTATGCCAATATAAGTCATATGTCTATTATTGATGAATATATGTATAGTCTACTGATCCTCTCAATGGACAGAACTAAGCACCTCAAAGTGATATACTTGGTTTGGTGACTTCTTAATCACAAAGTCCTGCATCTTGTTATTTTAGTTACTTTGACTCCATAAAGCCAGTCCATATAACGAAAATAGACTAGCAATTTTTTTTCGTTTTGCAGTACGTCGCTACTCAAATCTCTCTCCATATTAAATGGTATACTCGGTAGGCTCTCTAAAAACACATTCGAGGACTCATTAACTAATAAAACTAACTTAATAATCAGTTTCTCACCCTTGGTGCCCCAAGTTATACTTAGATATAACACATACTTTTCACTTACTATATATATAGAACTTTTATTGATAGGGTAGCTTAGCCTATAAGCATACCAAGTGACTCCTTTATATTCACTACTATCCTCAACTGGAATGAAACATCCAATAGTCTTGTCATGTAAACTAAGCTTAGGATAACATTAAGTCATTCAATCCAAGCCAAAGATAACCTCAAGGTCAATCGTACCAATTTATAACCAGTCAATAAATATATGGTGATTCTAAACCGGATCCACACATATTTAATAGCCAATAATAGTAGACTTTTCCACTTAGGTCGAAACCGCAAATAATACATCTAAGTGCTCAAGTCATCTCTTTATCCTCATCTATATTGCCATCTCGTTAACGTGTTTCTCGTCTTACTCAAACATATGCTTTAGCGAACACAATGTATGTTAACAAAATTGTGTGAACTAATTAGTTTTCTCGATGACAGTCAAGTAAAATTTTTTTTTGCATGACAATCTCAATACTCCATGTCTTACCCTTACTTTAATGGATAAACATATCACTGGGCCAAGTTTCATAAAATTCTCTTACTATATTGGTGCATTAAGCATATGCTTAAGTATTATTTTCTCTCCCAAGCTGGCACTTATCTACAAACTCTCGATCACCATTAATAGGTTTTGCATCACTTAGTGCCACTATTATACTTCTAGTCAGTGCACTTAATTTATGCATTCTTACACCACAATCACACGTATAATATCTTAATACTATCAAATCACTTCATTAGACATTAAGTTGAGAACTATATAAGCTTTTTTTTCTTTTTCAAAATATCTTTTACTACCAATCACAATAGCCAAAACGTGGCTAAGCTATTACGTTTGTTAGTTTTGCGCTCAATTCTTTCCTCTCATGATCAAACTCACAATAGAGAGTTGTGTCTGCAACCTCGAATTTTAAACAAATCAATCTTAGGAAAAAGAAAGAAAAAAAATCCTTAGACTATTTTACAATAGTCCAAAGTTTTGACTAACCCTCGAACTTCTTTAAAAATAAAAATTTTGGCAAAGTTTTTCTTTAGAAATAGTCATCCCAAAATTTATGATCTTTCCAATCTCAACAACAAGAGATGCAAATCCCATGTACCCAAGGAAGCTCTTAGTTGTACATATTTTCAAACTTCTAGTGTCGTCCGACAGAGGAGGATACGTGTGTCCTAGCCATCTGCGAAAGTTTATCTCAATGTTTAACTTGGTTCAGCGCAGCGCACGAATAAAGAATGAAAGAAGAGACAACATCCTAGATGTTCAGTAGTCTCAAGGTCATAAGTATGGACGTCTACATACCCATGAACAAGACTCTACCAAACACTGCTCCATGACGCGGGACTTAAAGCCTAAGCTCTGATACCAACTTCGTCACGTCCCAAACTACCCCCTATACGTGACTGGCATTCAACTAACACTACCTGCCAGGCGAACCCCTTTCTCTAACGTTTAATCATTTACACAAACACTAAGAGAAAAAAATGTAGGCCTATTAGTATTATTAATAATTAAAGAGGAAATAATTATTGCCCAATACCTTAATCAATTAATAGGAAAACCAAAAATCACTCAAATAATAAAACTCTAGCCCAAATCCCACACTAAGACCATAGAGCATCTAACAGAGTAATATGAGTTTTATTGACGGGTATGCAAACCCCAAAGAAAAAAAGAAAATAACTAACATGAATTAGGTAAGTCTGAATCGAACGCCTTCACGAACAATGCGGTGGCTCACTTCAGCAATAAGATCCACTCGAACAAACTCGTCAGCCACTAGCTCTATCTCCCGCAACGGTATCTGCATAGAGATGCAGGTAAGGAGTGAGTTATACGTAAATATAACCCAGTAGATCCTCAACCCGCCACTTTAAATACCCCTGGAACATGTGTTAGAAAATACAAACATACCACAACATGAATGATATAGTAAATATGATAATTATACAATAACTCAATATATGTGTATCAACAGAGTTATTAAGAATTAACCCACAAGAATACCCACCAAGGACTTATCATAATTGCAGTGAAAGAAATTTATCAACACACCTAAGCATACACAATGCCCCAAATATGTAACAGATCATACACAACACAACGACACCACAATGTCTCAAATATGTAACAGAGCATACACAATGCTCACAGAAGCATACACAATGCCCCAAATATGTAACAGATCATACACAACACAACGACACCACAATGTCTCAAATATGTAACAGAGCATACACAATGCTCACAGAAGCATACACAATGCCCCAAATATATCAAGAAGCATACACAATGGTCGGGTGATGTACAAATGCATACACAATGCTCCAACATCATGGCGCACAACCATATCAAACTCAACATCATGGCGCACAGCCGTATCAAACTAACATCATGGCGCACAGCCATATCAAACTCAACATCATGGCGTACAGCCGTATCAAATTCAACATCATGGCGCACAGCCGTATCAAATTCAACATCATGGCGCACAGCCGTATCAAATTCAACATCATGGCGCACAACCGTATCAAACTCAACATCATGGCGCACAACCGTATCAAACTCAACATCATGGCGCACAGCCGTATCAAACTCAACACCATGGCTCACAGCCAAATCAAACTATCAAACTAATTATAAAATATTTTTTTTTATATTTTTCATAAAATAATATATTTACGGCTAGTTTAAGACCACCGATTCTGCCAAGCGCACGCTTGTCCCAACACATGGACCAGGCAGAGAAAACACATTTTCAAAACGGGTTTTATAAAAGCAAGCATCAAAGCTTAAAGTTTCACTTACCTCACTAACGAAAAGTTTTCCAACCTTGCAACGTCTAGAACACCAATCAAATAGCCTCCAACAACATCAATCTATCCAAAAGTATTGATTAACGATATCAATTATAATAGTCAAGTTGATCTCATAATTCTTTTGAAACATTCAAAATAAAGTTAACTCAAAAGTCGACTCCCCATTGATTATGGCTAAATCCCCGAACAAATTATATTATCGAGTTACCCATAAGTCGTAGAGTCCAATCTATCATCAAGTTTCAATCTTGATACTATGATAAGTCAAATATGAATTCTTATACTAAATCTAACAATTGATATGCTAAACAGTCGACTAATCCCTTAATAATTCACATATTCAAAGCTTATTTGCCTGGCTTAAAAGGGTTTCTAAGCGTCCTAAACTTTACGCTCATTAATGCACCTGTAACTATACGTGAGTTGAGGAATTCAAACCTTATTACATGAATTTATGTAATGCAACTAATTTAACAATATATACAAAACTCTAAAACGAATTCCATATGCAAAGTGTTCTGACTTCAAAAAGACAATCTCAAATAGTTCTTATCCATTATTAAATAGTAAGGTTTTCATTACAAAATTCTACTCATATTACCAAGGCCTAATAAATACTACAATGTTTTCCATGGCCACTCTGTTCCAATTCGATCTTTGTCACTATAAGAAAAAGAATTAGTGATAATATCCCTCCTAGATTAATTCAAGAAATATAGTCATAGTGATAAAATTAAATCTATACCTTTCCATCACAGTTGAGTTGTAATGTGCAAGAATATTTCACTCTTTCTAGCTCTCTAAGTTCACGCCACCAACGGTTCAAGAGAATCCCTGCCACTACCGAAAAGCTCTCTACATTGTAGTAAATTTCTCTTAGTTATCTAAAGTTAATTGTTCACTTATTCGTCACTTTAGGTTTCTCCCTTCTAGGTCTTGCACGTAACTAGAATGATGGGCTTAGCCCACTCTATTATTATATAATTATTAATTGTCACTTGGCTAGCCATCGCACTTTACACCTATGTAAATGATAATCTCATTTTAAAAAAATATATATGTACATGCATATTAATACCTGTGAAAATTAAATAAATTATCACTAACAACATAACTTAAAAGTTTACTCTTAAGATATCAGGTTATTACATAGTTCCACTGAATGGCCCCAACTTTTGTTGTTGTAATGTGGAAATAAAAGAAATTAGAAATTGAGCTCCAAGCAAGCTGTGCTCTTTGGCCACATCAAAAGGGCTCGGTGCCTAAGTCTGACGCCAAGGTGCAAAGTTGATCATTTGAACATATCCACGTTCTGAGCTCTTGGTGTACAGGTTTGACCTTTTGGATATATGTATTAATGGTCCTAAAGAGAAGTTAGACTCCACTGTTTTAAGGCAGGTATTCTTTCATTAATCATTTCATCATTTTCCTTTTGTTTTGCTCCACATATCCTGTTTGGTATTGAGGATTACAACATAAAAGTGGAAGGCTTCTGTAATGTATGCACATTTTGCTGTTAATGGATGCCTTTGTTTTTTACTTTGCTCCTCCCAGAGATGATTTTATGGATGATCTTTGTGATGACAATAGGATATAACCTTAACATCAATTTTTGACTAGCTCATAACTTACTTATTCCCAGCCAGCTATCTATATCACTAGCTTAGCTGCAGTAGAGATGCTCCGTGCTCGTGAGGGCGGTCAGCAAATAATTAGTTCAGTTGATGTCACATGTGGTCTAAGCTTGGGCTAATACACTGCTCTGGCGTTTGCAGGAGCTTTCAGGTTCCTGCCTTGCATAACCTTATGGAAACACATACATTAGGAGTTGCTTATGTATTGGATGTTACTTTTCTATCATTCAGTATTTACCACTCTTTAAAATGCAAGTACTTAAATTTCATTGTTGTCCCCATTGATCTATTACCTCTGCCAGTTTCGAGGATGGGCTTAAGCTGGTCAAGCTAAGAGGAGAAGCTAGGTAATGTTCAACAATCCAATGATAAAAGAATATATATCTTGCATGGAACTCTAAAATATCTACTCTTTCCCTTTCCTTCAGGATGCTGCTGATGCTGCAAAAAGTGCAATGATTAGTATAATTGGACTGGACTCCGAGAAGGTCCACAAACTGTGTGATGCAGCTAATGAGGAAGTTGATGAAGCCAACAAAGTTCAGATTGCAAATTTCTTGTGCCCCGTGAGTTTTTTCAAATGCTCTATAACCAGACTAAATACCATATTTATTATACATTTTGCAATATTGCACCTGGCTAAGCATTTTCTAGTTTTGTTGTTGACATTGTATATTTTTGCTGGGAAATTATGCAGTCTCCGGAGGTCTTAAAGGATTGGAAGTGGTAGAAGCAAAAGCAAAATGATTCAAAGTTCTAATGACGGTATTTCCTCTCTCTCCAAACGCTGTTGTTTTGGCTGCCAATTGCCAATGCTGTTCGCATCTTAACATTGGATTTTGATTGTTCCAGGTACGTCTAGCTGAGTTTTATGAATCCAGCTGTCTCAAGACTAGAAGCTGCTCTGGGTGCAACAGAGATCAGAACTCCCAGAATACCAGTAATATCAAATGTTGATGTGCAACCACATGCAGATCCAGACACAATTAAGAAAATATTAGCTCGCCAGGTAAGGACACAAACAGTGCATCCACAGCATTAAGTTAATTGATTATGGATGGACACAATCTGCGAATGTTGATTTGCCGTGTTTGAGTTATGCAGGGAGGTCTGTTCCTCCTTAATGGTAAAGATGCTCAATTATAGTTCTTTTACCTTTTTCTAGAAAGCTCATTCAGAAATGACAAAAGCTGGTATATTCTTGGACATCAGTGTGAAAGATTTGTCAACTTTAAGAAAGAAGAGTTATCCAAAGCAGGTGCTAAAGAGAGCAGGTTTCTTTTCTTTTTTTACATTTAGCATTCTTGAATGACCTCAGTTACTCTTCCGATCATGCCTCAAACTATCAAATCTCTCTTATAGCCTGTTTGGCCAAGCTTCTTTTTGGCCAAAAGTATTTTTTCTTTTTGGCCTAAAGCACTTTTGGCCAAAAATTGAGGTGTTTGGCCAAGCTTTTGGAAGGAAAAAAGTGCTTTTGAGGAGAAGCAGAAGTAGTTTTGGAGAAACAGAAAAAAGTAGCTTCTCTCCAAAAGCACTTTTTTGAGAAGCACATTTGAGAAAAATACACTTAAAAGCACTTTTTTAAAGCTTGGCCAAACACTAATTGTTGCTCAGAAGTGTTTTTCAAACTAATTAGCCAAACACAAACTGCTTCTCACCAAAAGTACTTTTGAGAAAAGCACTTTTGAAAAAAAAACACTTCTCAAAATAAGCTGATTTTTGCAGCTTGGCCAAACGGGCTATAAACTGTCATCTATGTATGCTTTCAGAATATACAAATGTATTGAAAGTTATGAGATACAGTTGACATTATAATTGGTTCATAAGCTTCGACGGCACTCAGGATCCAGTTACCCTGAGTATACTTTCCCAATCATAATTGTTTGACGAACAAAATATGTCTAAATGGGTGAGCTTAATCCTTTTTCATTCTTTTTCCTTCCGATTCTAAGATGCTTGCTTTGCCGTTCTGCACCAACACCATGGGCTGACCTGCAAATCTACCAGTACAAGATGTTAAACCTATGGAATTCAATCATCGCAGTATGGAAAATTGACTGCGGAATAAGGCTGCTGCTGAATTTTAGTATGCACATTTGTATGTTCTGCTTGTGGCTTGACCTCTCTGCGTAAAAGAGTAGCAATTGTTGTTTATGTAATACGTACTTTGTAACGCATTTTACGATCTTGTTCATTTAGCTCTAATCTTTTGTTGCAAATAAAGACAACTTTAGGCTGCAAATTGTTTGGCCCCATGCGAAGCATGGGCAACATTATCTAGTCGCACAAGAAGCATGAGAGGAAATAGCTCAAAAGATAATGCTCTCATATCTCTCTTTTAGGAAATAACTCAAACGATAATGCTCTCATCTCTCTTTTAATTAAAGTATCAGAAAATAAAAAAATTGTTGGTTCAAGGGACTAATAATAATCTTAAATAAAAATTTCGAAATATTAAACTTACTCATATTATGTTGGTACCCTTTTACATCACCTCTAAAAAGTAAATTACACTCAACCAGATATCTTTTCAGTTATAATTAGGAAAGAGAAGTGCATGATCTAATTTTTCTTCTCTAAAATCAACGATGTATCAGTTGCACAAATTATTCAAATAGATCACCATATCACAATTCATAAACACGAAATTCAGCTAGAGAGCACGGGAAAAAAATAAAAAAGATAAAAATATAACCCTCAGAAATGTACATAACTTTTAGTAAGAACTGTTTTTCTCATATGACTGCTAACTTTGGCTTCGTGATCACGTATTGTCACACAAAGGAGTGATATCCTTACAGCTTCATTGACAACTTTAACTTAGTTTTAGCCCCCAAATAATACTAATACTCCCAATTTCAGTATAAACGAAAAGGGAAGTCACTTGCATGGGTAAAAAACCCATCTATTTGGTTGATATATCAGAAGATGGAGGCGCCTTGTTAGTGGCAGCAGATGAGGAACTTGTTGACGCTTCAGCATCAACAAGTTTCCGGAGTCTATCTTGAAGGACTCGAACTCGATTCTCTGTTTTACGGAGCTTTCGCCATCTATAGGCAAACCAAAGACCAAATCCCCCATATACAACTATATATGAACCCCAAACATAGGGGTAAGTTTCTGCATTCTCTTTGATCTTCTGGTACTGTTGTTGTATCTTGTCTGCCCAATTAGTATACGAGTAACTCTCCAACTGCTTGTCTGTTGCAGCTGGTTGTTGACTACCTTCACTGTTCTCCTGAGAAGTCATCGCTATCCAATGATTTACCACTTGAATCTATCGAAAACCACCACGTAGATGTTTGTTGCTTGGCTGCAGAAAAAAAGAGCATAATTTGGTTACTTTTCATTTTTGTTGATGAAGTGCACAACTTGGTTACTTGGAGCAAAAACATTATCAACTACTACAAGTACCTGAAGATTATTTGGTCTTAAGTCTTAACCGTCCCTAGGAGGCACACACTGCTCTCCAATATACAGAAAAAAGGAAGATTACTCCGGCATTTCACATTTGCAATTTGTATTGAGTTACTACATAGTACTTAGTAGTTAGTACATGCTATGATGCAAACAATTTATGGCCAAACGATCGATCTAAACTCAAAGAGACATCTTAACACCATATCCAAGATATGCTTCATCATATCTAGAAGGATTCACCAGGATAATACTAATCTCATGCCTTTTCTGTTTCAAAACATCTGTGATATTGTATAATACATTAAAAATTTCTACATAATTTCAGAGAAAAACAAATAGAACGACCATGCCTCTGCCAAATCACGATAGAATGTCAATATCTGGCATTTTCAAAAAGTGCTTGGGAAAGCTAAAGACAGAACTTCATAGTCAAAAATAACAACTGATTTGGTCACTAATTGAGTAATGGAAAAATAAATACAGGGCTCAAGTTCATGGATCTTGTAAACCAAGATATCAAGCCCAGGCCAGCTAGCAGAAAAGATCCAAAAGTTATAAGTGGTTACATATTACCAACTTCAGAAAAGAATCATGTAAGCTCTTTACACGTAATGCTTCCTTGGAGAAGCTAAAGAACTAGAAGAGCAATATTGCTCTGAAGACTTCCATTGAGACCAAAAGAAATCCATGTAATAGACTTTCAATAATCAATGGACCAGTTAAACACAATCAGACTAAATTTTAATTAGAAGGGCAAAGCAAAGATAGCTTCAAAACATGAGCAAACTATTTTCAAACAGTTTCGTGCTCTAAGACAATTAAACTAAAAATCCCACAAAAAGTTTCAATGTCCATTACAAATCCTTTTTAACAGAGAGAAGCTGACCATAGATCATTCCCCAACTGAGCATTATCTAAATTACATGTCCCATTTTGAATTCTCCATCTAACCAAAAATGATTGACACATTTCTTTTGATAATCGAGAAATCCCCCAGGCCAGTGGCACAAGGTCCAAAACTCGATAGATAATGGCTGCCCTCTACCTTTCTCCACTTAAATAACAAACGTTTGTTCGAGGCAAGGTTCAAACCTGTGATGTGAACCTAACGCGCACGTCAGGCGCTACACTCTTACTACTAGAACAAAGCCCTGGGGGCGATGATCAACACTTTGACTAATATTTTGAAATTTAATTCTCATTCCATTTTATATACCAGAAAAATTGTGACCTAGAAATCACATTTAAAGTAATCTAAATTTTACTTTTAAGACTAGTCTAGTATATTTAGCTCCAAATGTTGGTCAAATTGTCTATAGGTATGAGGAAAAAACACCAAACAGATCGGGACAGAGGGAGTTAGCTCCATCAATTGGAGCTTTAATTCGTAAAATACCGAAATAACTCTAAAACTTCACGCTTTCTAACTACTAAACGATAAATCCAATATGATGTGAAACTCTGAAAAATGCGTACCTTTAGCTGGAGTTAATTCTCTGCGAACAAACCTTGATCTTCGTGAAGAATTCTTCTAGAACTATAGAGGTTACTGAAGGGAGAAATAGTGTAAAGTTGGGTGGGGGTGGGAGGAAAGGGGAGCCGTCGTAGGGTTTATGGAAGGGAAGAAGTTCTGCAAATTAAATTTGGGTTGTCAATTAAATTTTCTCCCTCTTTCTTTGCATGTCTTGTTTGTCGAAAGAGAAAAGGAAATGTATGTGGAGAGGAAAAAGTTTAAAGGGACGGAAAGTGCAAATCATCCTATCTCATCGATTTAAAATATTTTTTTCAACTCAAATACATAGTATAATATATTTTTTTTCTAATTTACATTGTGTGTCGTTTTCAAAAAATTATTATTACTAAAAACTGATATGATATTTGAATCTGAATTTAGATGCAATTTGAGTAGTTTGCATTGATGTTAAGCCATGTATTGTGTCGAAAAAAAACTACTTAATAATTTTAAGAGAATATGTGCAATGTTATATAATAACAATCAACTAATTTAACATTTAATGATTCAAAGAAAAAAAATTGTATATATAGGGTATTCAAAATTTAAAATATGTGGCTAGAGATATGAATAAACTCAAAATAGAGCCACACTGAAATAAAGTTTCGCTGGCTAAAAAATTATTTAAATTTTTAGATAGTCTATTAAAGTGGATTTTAAATTAAGGATGATATCTTCACTTGCATCATTATAAAGCTAATCATTATTGAAAGATAACAACATACCAAAATAAAATTAGAATTTCAAAATAAAATATTTTTTGAAAGATAACAACATACCAAAAAGTCGTTCAAGTCATAGTAAAAGAGTCATGTCGTAACCAAAAAGTCGTTCATATTGTGTCAGCCTTTGTGCTTTGCCATAAATACAAGTTATTATTTCGCTTCGTGACTATTTTTAGGTTCCAATGACTCCAATAAGAATGATGCAAAAAAAAAATCACTACGAGATTTGAAAAAATATTAGTTTTTTTTCATGTAGTATTTCTTAATTAATATCTGACGATTATTTATAATTATATAGAAGGTTTAAATTTTAAGGTTATTTATATATAATTCAAATAACTCAGATGTTTAATATGGTTAGTGTCAAATATCAAAATGGAGTCATACTGGAAAAAATAAATTCACTGGCTAAAGAATTATTTAAATTTTTAGATACCCGACTAAACTGAGTTTTTGAATTAAGGATAATATTTTTACTTCCATTATTATAAACATAATTATTATTGAAAAATAAAATTTTAGAAACTGAAATTTTAAAATAGAAATATTTTTTGAAAGATATCAACACACCAAATAAGAGTTCAAGTAGTAATACAAGAGTCAAGCTGTATCCAAAAAATCCTTCATAGTCTCAACTAGGGATGTTCATAAAAATTCGAAAACCCGAACCAAACCAAACCGACCAAAAAACCCGATATTTTTTGGTTTGGTTTGGTTTTGGTTGTGAAATTTAAAAACCGATCAAATTTGGTTTGGTTTTGGTTTTAATTAAAAAAAAAACGAACCAAACCGAATATAGGAGTAGCTTCTTAAATTTATTATTACACCTATATATATGTATACTTTTATACAAAGTTTTAAAAAATTTATAGTAAATATTAATCGTTTGCACTTTTAGTACAGTTCTTGACCTTTACATTGTAGTTTAATTGGTAGCTTTCTTTTGTTAAGTGTAAGAATCTATTTCATGTTAAAATAATATATTTTTAATTGAGTCCTTAAATTATTCATCACTATTTGATTCAATTATCATCAATATATCTTGGTAATTAATAGATTTCTCAAAGGGCAATTGATTTGATAGTGTTACGTTGAAAATATAGTCGTCGAAATGTGTGTTGGTAGTGTATGTCTTATATTTAAGAAAAAACCGACAAATAACCGAAAAAACCAAAAAAATCGACATAAACCGAATCGGAAAAAAATATACTTAATTGGTTTGGTTATAATATTTGAAAAACCGACTTACTTGGTTTGGTTTCTTTTTAGGGAAAAACCGATCCAAACCGAATCATGAACACCCCTAGTCTCAACCTTTGATTGTTTTGCCATAATTATGAGTTATTATTTTGCTTCCTGACTATTTTCAGGATCCAATGACACCGCTGAGAATGATACCAAAAAAGAAAATAGAATTATAACTAGGAAATTTGAGAAATGGTTAATCTTTTTCATGTAGTGTTTCTTAATTTATATCCAATAATTATCTATATTTATCAAGAAGGTTTAAATTCTAAGACTATTGGCACATAATTCAAATAAATAAATATTTGACATGATTAGTGTTCGCGCATCCGCGCGAGTACTAATACTAGTTAATATATAAAAGGAGAAGCAAATCCATGATATTATGCCAAGTGTCACAACGAAATATTGTGTAAAGTTTTAGGACCAACCTCCAATAAATGTGGAGATTCAAAAAAACTTAAAATAAGAAAAAAAACTTACAAAATTTATTCACATCATGGAGTCCACGTTTTTGGGCATGTATTTATTAAAACTGAAAACTAAAAAAAATACAATTACTCCAATTCCAAAAAATAGACTCCTAAATTTTTCATTAGTTTTTAATTTATTATAAACCTGAATTCGCCAAATTTTTTTATACAATTTTTTTACATAGAAATAGGAAAAAAGAAAAAATAAGACGCTTCACGAGCGTCTCATCAGTTCAAAAATAAATTGACACCCACGTTGTTTTATTAGTTTTTTATTTAGTTTATTATAAACCTAAAAATTCGACAAAAAATAGAGAATTGTACAAACACGAAGAAAAGAAAAAAAAACACTCCACGATCCCAAACACTCCACGATCGTCTTACCAAACGTGGGTATCAAAACCTAACTCCATAATTTAAAAACTGTTTCCTACGCTGATACTATCCCAAACGTCTGCTGCTCCTTTTATTTTCTTTTCTTTTTGCTCAAAATACACAACTTTACAAATATGGTTACAATACTTCATAAAATCAGTCAAATTTCAAGCAACTCAACAGAATTTCAAAGTTAGAGCCCTTCGAATGTGGGAAATCTCGAATCGTTTCAAGCCTGAAATACCAAATTTCATCGAGTTGATTTTACAAGATGCAAAGGTAACATATTCAACTTTACATAATTTTAAAGTTTCACTTCTTTACTGGTTTAATGGCACAATAAATTGTATTAATTAAACGATTATGTGTAGTACCGGTATTCTATTTCTGTTTTTAAAAGTTTATCATCTGAAAGTTTTTTTTTAATTTCTTTAGGACGAGCATACTGAAGTTTTGCTTATATATGAAACGATTTTGTGTAGTACAAATGTTACTCTATCTATTTCTTAAAGTTGGATTCACGATTGTGTTTCTTAAGTATAAGAAAATCGCCAGTAATTCAAGTTCTATATAAAATATTCTTTAATTGATATGGAACTCATTATAAATTATTGTAATTCATCTATACTGAATCTTTGTAGTAAATAACATACATTGTGTTGAAAATAAATCTCTGCCAGATAACAAATATGGTCGTCTCGGTTAAACTATTATCGGCAAGTTTGTTATTAAGTTCGTTTTAAAACACGTCCTCGGACCGCGCCACATGAAATGCACCCGTGATCCACGACATATTTTATTTAACATTGTTGAGAATTGGAGTTGGGTCATATGAAATACACACCCGAGTTTAGGAAGGTAATATTATTAAAATACGCGCCTAAAGCAACTGCGCGTTTTATCTTTGTGACGGCCATGGAAATTTGCTAAATGGCACGCCTCGATTTCTAAGTATTTTAAATGAAATAATTAAATGAGGGCCACGCATTTGAGATTTTATTTGGCGCGACGCACTTTAATTCTAAAGTAAAGAGGCATTCAAACTAGGCTTCGGAGGGCCATAAGTTATATTCTAATGGATATGGCTCATTTCGTAATGTAACTAGTGAGAATTCAATTAATTAGAGGACAGAATGATCAACACTTTTAAGACTAAAATTTCGGATCAATTTAAAACTAAAAGACCAACAATTGGTCTGCCCTAATACATGCTCAACGCAAGCCCTAAGCCATAGAGAATGGGCAACGGCAAATGCGAGACTCCAGATCGAATCTCTACACATGCAGAATACCGGAATTATTTGAATTAATGGCCCTGACTTCATTTATTGGGCCATCACTAGGCCCAAGTTCTCGTGATTCAAATGATTCATACAAATTAAACTGATGTTAATTATGGAACATGAAGTCAGATTAACAAACTTAAACTCTGATTTTAAACAATTAACACAATTTAACTAAGCTAAATTTTTAATTTTATCTTCCATGCATCCTTGAGTCAAATCTGCTACCCAAACAATCCAGTAGCTAAAAGAATGCCCTGCTGGGCTCAAAAACGAGTCCAGATAACAACAACATGCCATCTTCCTTTGCAAGTAACTTCAGAATTCAAGGCTCGAGGAGCCCAACACTGTAACGAACAAAACTGAGGGTTTCAGACTCAAGATCGAGTCTATGCTAAAGCAAAACAAACTCTTGCACTCAAACACAAACTGTTAAATCTCATCACTACCCAATAACTACTACATCAGGAAAAACTTTGAATTACTACTGAGGATACATGCTTGACTTCAGATTAACGAACATTCATACTTAACTAAACTTACAAACATAGCACGAGACTTTAAACTAACTAACTCTTTTTCAATACCAAAAAGTAACAAAATCTAGAGAATTAATCAACACCCAAAACTCTTAAAGAGCACATATTCACTTGGATATCATATTAAGGGCATGAGATAACTGATACAACATGTGTAATTCAGGACTTATTACAGAACATTAAAGAAATAGAGGAAATGAATGTCATGGAGTTAAAAACAGTTTGCATTCAGTCAGGCTTCAACTCGAAATACATGTTCTTAGTCACTTGTTGACCACGGTTTGGGGAAATACCTGGAAAATACACAAAAGGAAAAATGTGAGGGCAACAAACAGCTACAACAGCAGTGTAACAGGTCCAGTAACAGCAGAAACCAAAGCAGTAAAACTCAGCAACAAGAAAAGTCCTAGATTCCACCAAATATCCAGTGAAATCAACTCAACCAATAATGAAACAATGACCTCGACCCAGAACTCAAACCCAGACTTTAAGAGAAAAACAAGTTCAAGCCATTTTACACACCCAACTGAACCATAGATTGCCTTAGCAAGTTGGAATTCCAAAAAATTAGAAATAGAACTCAATGGAACAGT